TTTTAACCCCTATAGACATCCCCCCCATTAACCTCTACGGACGCCCCCCACATTAACCCCTACGGATGCCCCCCATTTTAACCCCTATAGACATCCCCCCCATTAACCTCTATGGATGCCCCCCCATTAAACTCTATGGACATCCCCCACATTAACCCCTATGGATGACCCCCATTAACCCCTACAGGCTCTCCCTATAGACCCCCCCTTTAACGCATATGGACCTCCCCATTAACCCCTACAGACCCCCCCAGAGACCTCTATGGACACCCTCCTATTGACCCCTATAGACACTCTCCCTTTTAACCTTTTAACTCCTGTAGACACCCCCTATAGACTCCCCCAATTAACCCCTATGGACTCCCACTACTGATCCCTTGAACCTCTATGGACCTCCTGTAAACCCCTATAGGCTCCCCCCATCAACCCCTACAGATTCTCCCTATTACCCGCCCCATTAATCCCTAGCCCCCCCCCCCAAACCCTATGGACCTCATCCACTAATCCCTATAGATCTCCCCCTCCATTAACCCCTATGGAACTGCCCCATTATCTCCTACAGATCCCCTCTATAGACCTCATCCAGTAACCTCTATAGACCCCCCCATTAACTCCTATAGATCCCACCTATAGACCCCTATGAACCTCATCCACTAATCCCTATAGATCCCCCCATTAAACCCCTATGGAACCCCCCATTAACTCCTATAGATCCCCCCTACAGACCGCCCCCATTAACCCCTATGGACCCCCCCATTAACTCCTATAGGTCCTCCCTATAGACCCCTATGGACCCCCCCATTAACTCCTATAGGTCCTCCCTATAGACCCCTATGGACCTCATCCACTAACCCCTACAGACCCCCCCCATTTATTCCTACAGATCCCCCCTACAGACCCCCCCCATTAATCCCTATGGAACCCCCCCATTAACTCCTTAGATACCCCCTATAGACCTCATCCACTAACCCCTAAAGTACCCCCCATTAACTCCTATAAATCCCCCCATAGACCCCCCCATTAACTGCCATGGAACCCACCCATTTGCTCCTACAGATCCCCCCTACAGACCCCCCCCCCATTAACCCCCATGGACCCCCCACCACAGACCCCCATGGATCCCCCCCACAGACCCTCATGGACTCCCCCCATTAACCCCCATGGACCTCCCCCCACAGACCCCCATGGACCCCCCCCCATTAACACCCACGGATCCCCCCACAGACCCCCATGGACCCCCCCATTAACCCTTATGGATCCCCCCCATAGACCCCTATGGACCCCCCCACAGACCCCCACGGACCCCACCCCCATTAACCCCTATGGACCCCCCCCATTAACCCCCACGGCCCCCCCCCACAGACCCCCATGGACCCCCCCATAGACCCCCCCCACAGATCCCCACGGACCCCCCCATTAACCCCTATGGATCCCCCCCCAGACCCCCCCGGACCCCCCTATCCCCCCCATCGCCCCTTCCCCTCTCACCTGATACCGGAACATGGCGGCGGCGGCGGCGCCCACCGCCCGCTCCGGCCCTCGGGCCCCCGCCGCGCAGGCGCGGGCGCAGGCGCATGACGTCACCCGCGGCACTCAGGGCGGGGTAAAGGAAGGGTGGAGGAATGCGCATGCGCGGCTGCGGGGAGCGGGAAATGGGGGCGTGGCTTGAAGAGGACACGCCTACTTATTTAGTATTAAAGGCGCCGCTGGTCTTAAAGGGCCAGCGCACCCCGGAACGGGCCGGCTCCGGTGGTGATCCTGGACGCGTTCCCTATGTGCGGGTGTGTCCCCGCCTACCCATAGCTGTGTCACCCCCCAGATGTGCTGCCCCAGAGGCACCTCCCCACCAGCTGTGACCCAGATGTGTCCCCCAGATGTGATTCGTGTCCCCCCAGATGAGACCCCTTGCCTCCGGGTGTGAGCCTTGTCTCCAGATGTGCCCACCCATAGTGACCCATGGCCATGACTCCCCCAGATGTGTCCCCCAGATGTGATTCGTGGCCCCCCAGATGTGACCCCTTGCCTCTGGGTGTGAGCCTTGTCTCCAGATGTGCCCACCCATAGTGACCCATGGCCATGACTCCCCCAGATGTGTCCCCCAGATGTGATTCGTGGCCCCCCAGATGTGACCCCTTGCCTCCGGGTGTGAGCCTTGTCTCCAGATGTGCCCACCCATAGTGACCCATGGCCATGACTCCCCCAGATGTGTCCCCCAGATGTGATTCGTGGCCCCCCAGATGTGACCCCTTGCCTCTGGGTGTGAGCCTTGTCTCCAGATGTGCCCACCCATAGTGACCCATGGCCATGACTCCCCCAGATGTGTCCCCCAGATGTGATTCGTGGCCCCCCAGATGTGACCCCTTGCCTCTGGGTGTGAGCCTTGTCTCCAGATGTGCCCACCCATAGTGACCCATGGCCATGACTCCCCCAGATGTGTCCCCCAGATGTGATTCGTGGCCCCCCAGATGTGACCCCTTGCCTCTGGGTGTGAGCCTTATCTCCAGATGTGCCCACCCATAGTGACACATGGCCCTGACTCCCCCAGATGTGATTCGTGTCCCCCCAGATGTGACCCCTTGCCTCTGGGTGTGATCCTTGTCTCCAGATGTGCCCACCCATAGTGACCCATGGCCATGACTCCCCCAGATGTGTCCCCCAGATGTGATTCGTGGCCCCCCAGATGTGACCCCTTGCCTCCGGGTGTGATCCTTGTCTCCAGATGTGCCCACCCGTAGTGACCCATGGCCCTGACTCCCCCAGATGTGTCCCCCAGATGTGACCTGTGTCCATAACCACGACCCCAGACACATCCCCTGCCCCAGATGTGCCTCCAGATGTGTCCCCTATCCCCATCCACGTCCCCCTAGCTGCGACCCCTATCCATAACCATGTCAACAGCCATGTCCCCTGCCCCCAGTCATGCCCTTTTTTGTGTCCCCTATCTGGAACCGTGTCCCCACATGTCCCCTATCCCTATCCATGTCCCCTATCCCTATCCATGTCCCTTATCCTTATCCATGTCCCCTATCCCTACCCATGTCCCCTAACCCTATCCATTCCCGTGTCCCCATTCCCTATCCATAACCATGTCCCTTATCCCTATCCATAACCATGTCCCCTATCCCTATACTTTCCCGTATTCCCTATCCCTATCCATAACCATGTCCCCTATCCACTCCCGTATTCCCTATCCCTATCCAAACCATGTCCCCTATCCCTATCCATTCCCGTATCCCCTATCCCTATCCATTCCCGTATCCCATATCCCTATCCATTCCCGTATCCCCTACCCCTATCCATTCCCATATCCCCTATCCCTATCCATTCCTGTATCCCTATCCCTATCCATTCCCATATCCCCTATCCATTCCCATATCCCCTATCCATTCCCGTATCCCCTATCCCTATCCATTCCCGTATCCCCTACCCCTATCCATTCCCATATCCCCTATCCCTATCCATTCCCGTATCCCTATCCCTATCCATTCCCATATCCCCTATCCATTCCCATATCCCCTATCCCTATCCATTCCCATATCCCCTATCCATTCCTGTATCCCCTACCCCGATCCATTCCCATATCCCCTATCCATTCCCATATCCCCTATCCCTATCCATTCCCGTATCCCTATCCCTATCCATTCCCATATCCCCTATCCCTATCCATTCCCATATCCCCTATCCATTCCCATATCCCCTATCCCTATCCATTCCCATATCCCCTATCCATTCCCGTATCCCCTACCCCTATCCATTCCCATATCCCCTACCCCTATCCATTCCCATATCCCTTATCCCTATCCATTCCCATATCCCCTACCCCTATCCATTCCCATATCCCTTATCCCTATCCATTCCCATATCCCTTATCCCTATCCATTCCCATATCCCCTATCCATTCCCATATCCCCTATCCCTATCCATTCCCGTATCCCCTACCCCTATCCGTTCCCATATCCCCTACCCCTATCCATTCCCATATCCCCTATCCATTCCCATATCCCCTACCCCTATCCATTCCCATATCCCCTATCCCTATCCATTCCCATATCCCCTATCCCTATCCATTCCCGTATCCCCTACCCCTATCCATTCCCATATCCCCTATCCATTCCCATATCCCCTACCCCTATCCATTCCCATATCCCCTACCCCTATCCATTCCCGTATCCCCTACCCCTATCCATTCCCATATCCCCTACCCCTATCCATTCCCATATCCCCTACCCCTATCCATTCCCATATCCCCTATCCCTATCCATTCCCATATCCCCTATCCCTATCCATTCCCATATCCCCTATCCATTCCCATATCCCCTACCCCTATACATTCCCATATCCCCCACCCCTATCCATTCCCATATCCCCTATCCCTATCCATTCCCGTATCCCCTATCCCTATCCATTCCCATATCCCCTATCCCTATCCATTCCCATATCCCCCACCCCTATCCATTCCCATATCCCCTATCCCTATCCATTCCCATATCCCCTATCCCTATCCATTCCCATATCCCCTATCCCTATCCATTCCCGTATCCCCTACCCCTATCCATTCCCATATCCCCTATCCCTATCCATTCCCGTATCCCCTACCCCTATCCATTCCCATATCCCTTATCCCTATCCATTCCCATATCCCTTATCCCTATCCATTCCCATATCCCCTATCCATTCCCGTATCCCTATCCCTATCCATGTCCCTGTCCCCATTCCCCCTCCATTCCCATGTCCCCTCTCCTCTGCTCCCCCCTTCCACCCCCCCATCAGATCCCTCCCCATCCTCACCCCATCAGGACCCCCCCCCCCCCCCCGTTACCGACCCGGTGCTGCCGGGGCGGCGCCGCCGCCTCCCCCTGGTCCCTCCCCTCTGCCCCCCCCCCCCCCCCCCCGGGATTAGCTCAGGGCCAGCCCCGGGCTCGGGGCACCGGTAGCGCCCGCGCCTGATGGAGGAGGCCTGAGGAGGGGTGGGGGGGTGGGGGGAGCATCCTCATCCCTGCGGGACCATGAAGGACCGGTTGGAGCAGCTCAAGGCGGTGAGAGCCGGATGGGGGGGGGAGATGGAGCCCCCGTCCCGATGGGTGCTATGGGGATGGGGACACCCGGACATCTGTGTCCGTGGTGGATGGGGGCACCATAGGGATGGAGGGAGGTCAGCAAGCCCCCAGGCCCTGGTGTGTTGGGGGTTATAGGGATGGGGGGCACTGAGACCCCCCCGTGTTGGATGGGGGCACCATAGGGATGGATGGAGGTCAGCAAGCCCCCAGGCCCTGGTGTGTTGGGGGTTATAGGGATGGGGGGCACTGAGACCCCCCCGTGTTGGATGGGGGTACAATGGGGATGGGGACACCCGGACATCCGTGTCCGTGGTGGATGGGGGCACCATAGGGATGGAGGGAGGTCAGCAAGCCCCCAGGCTGTGGTGCTTGAGGGATGGGGGGCACTGAGACCCCCCCGTGTTGGATGGGGGCACCATAGGGATGGATGGAGGTCAGCAAGCCCCCAGGCCCTGGTGTGTTGGGGGTTATAGGGATGGGGGGACCCTGAGACCCCCCCAAGCTGTATGGGGGCACCATGAGGATGGAGCATCCTGAGACCTCCCCAATGCTCAATGGGGACACTATGGGGATGGGGGGGGACGACAAGAGATCCAGCCCCACATCAATGGGGCCGTTGGGTGGAAGGGATTTAGGGGATACCCCTCTGTGACCCCATATAGGGTTGAAGAGGGTGCATTGGGGGGCCACCAGCCCCCCCTATAAACACTGCTCCCCCCATGCTATAGGGTGCAATGGGGACACCCCCACCCCATTGCGTGGGGCTGGAGCAGGGGGCATCCATCCTATGGGGTGGCAGGGAACGGATGCGGGGTGCCCAGCGCCCCATCCTGCACCCCACAGCTCACCCTTCTCCCGCCACCACCACCACTTCCTCTTCTCATTGCCCGCCCTATTGCGGGGCCCCTTTCACCCCATATAAAGCCTTCCCCCCCTATATATGGGGGTCCCCGCAGCCCCCCAAGCTGCAGCCCAGGCCGCTGTGTGGGGCAGCAGCCGGGGCAGGGAGGCTTGGCAGGGATTTAGCTGGGATTATGGAGCCAGCGGATAAAGCCTTGGGAAGCGAGGCAGGGATTAGGGTTATTTTTACTCCATTGGGAGCAGGGGGGGGCTTGGGGGTCCCCACATGGGGCTTGTGCCCCACAGCAGGGATGGGCACCCAAAGGAGCTGGGGGGCAGAGGGGGAGTGGAAGGGATGGGGTTGGTACCCTAAGGCACGGTGCAGATACAGGAGTGCATGGAGGGGGGGGACCAGGCGTGACACCAGGGTGATGGGTGACAGCTCCTATGGGTCCCCATTGAGCCCCAGCACTGCAGGGTGAGCTCGGGGTGGAGAACCCTGTCCCATGTCCCCATCCTATCCCCATCCTATCCCCATCCCATCCCCATCCCATCCCCATCCCGGTGTCCATCCTCCAGCCCAGCCCAGCAATCCCTTAATTCCCAGCTGTGCGCAGCCAGATGTGACAGGAACACGATGTCCCCCTTATGTAGATGTCACCCTCCTTGGGCCATCATATCCCTATGGGGTGGTTGTCACCATATCCCTGTGGGGTTGTCACCATATCCCTATGGGGTTGTTGTCACCATGTCCCTATGGGGTTGTTGTTACCATGTCCCTATGGGGTGGTTGTCACCATATCCCTATGGGGTTGTTGTCACCATGTCCCTATGGGGTGGTTGTCACCATGTCCCTATGGGGTTGTTGTCACCACGTCCCTATGAGGTGGTCGTCACCATATCCCCATGGGGTGGTTGTCACCATGTCCCTGTGGGGTGGTTGTCACCATATCCCTATGGGGTTGTTGTCACCATATCCCTATGGGGTTGTTGTCACCATGTCTCTATGGGGTTGTTGTCACCATGTCCCTATGGGGTTGTTGTCACCATGTCCCTATAGGGTTGTTGTCACCATCTCCCTATGCAGTTGTTGTCACCATGTCCCTATGGGGTTGTTGTCACCATGTCCCTATGCAGTTGTTGTCACCATCTCCCTATGCAGTTGTTGTCACCATGTCCATATGGGGTTGCTGTCACCATGTCCCTATGCAGTTGCTGTCACCATGTCCCTATGGGGTTGTTGTCACCATGTCCCTATGCAGTTGCTGTCACCATGTCCCTATAGGGTTGTTGTCACCATGTCCATATGGGGTTGCTGTGACCATGTCCCTATAGGGTGGTTGTCACCATGTCCATATGGGGTTGCTGTCCCCATGTCCCTATGGGGTTGCTGTCCCCGTGTCCCCGTGGGGTGCCTGTCACCCTCTGAGCTCTGCCCCATTGCTCCCCATAGAAGCAGGATGCGGACGATGACACGGAGGAGCTGGAGATCGCAGTGGACAACACAGCGTTCATGGACGAGTTCTTCTCGGAGGTGAGCGGGACCCATGGACCCGGGGATGGGGACAGGGGACACGGGGCTGTCCCCTCACCCCCGGCTCCTCCCCACGGCTTCAGATCGAGGAGACCCGGCAGAACATCGACAGGATCTCGGAGAACGTGGAGGAGGCCAAGAAGCTCTACAGCATCATCCTGTCAGCACCCATCCCCGAGCAGAGTCAGTGCGGCACCCATGGGTGTCCTGCATCCTCGTCCCATGTGGTACCCATGGGTGTCCTGCATCCCCATCCCATGTGGTACCCATGGGTGTCCTGCATCCCCATCCCATGTGGTACCCATGGGTGTCCTGCATCCCCATCCCATGTGGTACCCATGGGTGTCCTGCATCCCCGTCCCATGTGGTACCCATGGGTGCCCTGCATCCCCGTCCCATGTGGTACCCATGGCTGTCCTGCATCCCCATCCCATGTGGTACCCATGGGTGCCCTGCATCCCCGTCCCATGTGGTACCCATGGGTGTCCTGCATCCCCATCCCGTGTGGTACCCATGGGTGTCCTCCATCCCTACCCCATCCGGTGGCTCTGTGTGGTCCCAACAGTGTCACACATCCCATTCCCATTCCCATTCCCGCTGTGGTTCCTCCTACAGAGACCAAAGATGACCTGGAGCAGCTGACAGCAGACATCAAGAAAATGGCCAACAGCGTCCGCAACAAACTCAAGAGTGAGTGACCGTGTCCCCATCCTGTCTCCATCCTGTCCCCATGTCCCCATCCTGTCCCCATCCCTGTCCCCATGTCCCCATCCTGTCTCCATCCTGTCCCCATGTCCCCATCCTGTCCCCATCCTGTCCCCATCCTGTCTCCATCCTGTCCCCATGTCCCCATCCTGACCCCATCCCTGTCCCCATGTCCCCATCCTGTCCCCATGTCCCCATCCTGTCCCCATGTCCCCATCCTGTCTCCATCCTGTCCCCATCCTGTCTCCATCCTGTCCCCATGTCCCCATCCTGTCCCCATGTCCCCATCCTGTCTCCATCCTGTCCCCATCCTGTCTCCATCCTGTCCCCATGTCCCCATCCTGTCCCCATGTCCCCATCCTGTCCCCATCCTGTCCCCATGTCCCCATCCTGTCCCCATCCTGTCTCCATCCCTGTTCCCATGCCCCCATCCTGTCCCCATCCTGTCCCCATGTCCCCATCCTGTCCCCATCCCTGTCCCCATGTCCCCATCCTGTCCCCATGTCCCCATCCTGTCCCCATGTCCCCATCCTGTCCCCATCCTGTCCCCATGTCCCCATCCTGTCCCCATGTCCCCATCCTGTCTCCATCCTGTCCCCATCCTGTCTCCATCCTGTCCCCATGTCCCCATCCTGTCCCCATGTCCCCATCCTGTCCCCATCCTGTCCCCATGTCCCCATCCTGTCCCCATCCTGTCTCCATCCCTGTTCCCATGCCCCCATCCTGTCCCCATCCTGTCCCCATGTCCCCATCCTGTCCCCATCCTGTCCCCATCACTGTTCCCATGTCCCCATCACTGTTCCCATGCCCCCATCCTGTCCCCATCCTGTCCCCATCCTGCCCCCATCACTGTTCCCATGTCCCCATCACTGTTCCCATGTCCCTATCACTGTCCCCATGTCCCCATCACTGTCCCCATCCTGTCCCCATCACTGTTCCCATCACTGTTCCCATGTCCCCATCACTGTCCCCATGTCCCCATCCTGTCCCCATCCTGTCCCCATCACTGTTCCCATGTCCCCATCCTGTCCCCATCCTGTACCCATGTCCCCATCACTGTTCCCATGTACCCATCCTGTCCCCATCACTGTCCCCATGTCCCCATCACTGTCCCCATCCTGTCCCCATCACTGTTCCCATGTCCCCATCACTGTCCCCATGTCCCCATCCTGTCCCCATCACTGTTCCCATGTCCCCATCCTGTCCCCATCACTGTTCCCATGTCCCCATCACTGTTCCCATGTCCCCATCACTGTCCCCATGTCCCTATCCTGTCCCTGTCCTGTCCCCATCACTGTCCCTATGTCCCTATCCTTTCCCCATTGCTGTCTCCATGTTCCCATCACTGTCCCCATGTCCCCATCACTGTTCCCATGTCCCCATCCTGTCCCCATCACTGTCCCCATCCTGTCCCCATCACTGTTCCCATGTCCCCATCACTGTTCCCATGCCCCCATCCTGTCCCCATCCTGTCCCCATCCTGCCCTCATCACTGTTCCCATGTCCCCATCACTTTCCCCATCCTGTCCCCATCACTGTTCCCATGTCCCCATCACTGTCCCCATGTCCCTATCCTGTCCCTGTCCTGTCCCCATCACTGTCCCCATGTCCCCATCCTGTCCCCATCACTGTTCCCATCACTGTTCGCATGTCCCCGTCACTGTTCCCATGTCCCCATCCTATCCCCATCACTGTTCCCATGTCCCCATCACTGTTCCCATGTCCCCATCACTGTTCCCATGTCCCCATCCTGTCCCCATCACTGTTCCCATGTCCCCATCACTGTCCCCATGTCCCCATCACTGTCCCCATCACTGTTCCCATGTCCCCATCACTGTCCCCATGTCTCCATCACTGTCCCCATGTCCCTATCCTGTCCCTGTCCTGTCCCCATCACTGTTCCCATGTCCCCATCACTGTCCCCATGTCCCTATCCTGTCCCTGTCCTGTCCCCATCACTGTTCCCATCACTGTCCCCATGTCCCCATCACTGTCCTCATGTCCCCATCCTGTCCCCATCGCTGTTCCCATGTCCCTATGGGGAGGTAGGGAATACCCCCTGGCCGTGGGGCAGGTCCCTGAGGGGCCGGGTCCTGCCCCCCAGGTATGGAGCGCAGCATCGAGCAGGATGAGGTGCGCTCCTCCGCTGACCTGCGCATCCGCAAGTCCCAGGTGAGCCCCGGTCCCCACCCGGCACCACGGAGCCTGTTCCCAATGGGATGGGCATGGGGACGCGGCACCTCCCGGGTCCCATCCCTGTCCCCTATCCCACACACACCACACCTGGCTGCTCCCAAGCTTCCTGTCCCCCATGTCCCCAGCACTGCCCTGCCATCCCAGCCCCGTGCTCCTGTCCCCATGGAATACAGCCCATGGGATGCTCCATGCCCAGGCTGTCCCACATCCCTGCTCCCAGCACTGGGGTCCTGTTCCCTTAGGACCAGGGAGGTGCCATGTCCAGGATGTCCCCATCCCCATGTTTTCATCCCCATTCCCATCACTGGGTCCTGTCCCGCAGGGACCAGGGAGGTGCTGTGCTCAGAGTGTCCCCATATCCCATGTCCCCATCCCCAGCACTCAGTGCTGTCCCTATGGACACACCATACCCAGCCATCCCCACGTCCCCAGCACTCAGTGCTGTCCCTATGGACACACCATACCCAGCCATCCCCATGTCCCCAGCACTCAGTGCTGTCCCTATGGACACACCATACCCAGCCATCCCCATCCCCAGCACTCGGTGCTGTCCCTATGGACACACCATACCCAGGCTGTCCCCATATCCCATGTGCCCGTCCCCAGCACTCAGTGCTGTCCCTATGGACACACCATACCCAGCCATCCCCACGTCCCCAGCACTCAGTGCTGTCCCTATGGACACAGCATACCCAGGCTGTCCCCATATCCCATGTGCCCATCCCCAGCACTCAGTGCTGTCCCTATGGACACACCATACCCAGGCTGTCCCCATATCCCATGTGCCCATCCCCAGCACTCGGTGCTGTCCCTATGGACACACCATACCCAGGCTGTCCCCATATCCCATGTCCCCATCCCCAGCACTCAGTGCTGTCCCTATGGACACACCATACCCAGGCTGTCCCCATGTCCCCAGCACTCAGTGCTGTCCCTATGGACACATCATACCCAGGCTGTCCCCATGTCCCCAGCACTCAGTGCTGTCCCTATGGACACACCATACCCAGGCTGTCCCCATATCCCATGTCCCCATCCCCAGCACTCGGTGCTGTCCCTATGGACACACCATACCCAGGCTGTCCCCATATCCCATGTGCCCGTCCCCAGCACTCAGTGCTGTCCCTATGGACACACCATACCCAGCCATCCCCATCCCCAGCACTCAGTGCTGACCCTATGGACACACCATACCCAGGCTGTCCCCATATCCCATGTGCCCGTCCCCAGCACTCAGTGCTGTCCCTATGGACACACCATACCCAGGCTGTCCCCATATCCCATGTGCCCGTCCCCAGCACTCAGTGCTGTCCCTATGGACACACCATACCCAGGCTGTCCCCATGTCCCCAGCACTCAGTGCTGTCCCTATGGACACACCATACCCAGGCTGTCCCCATGTCCCCAGCACTCAGTGCTGTCCCTATGGACACACCATACCCAGGCTGTCCCCATATCCCATGTGCCCGTCCCCAGCACTCGGTGCTGTCCCTATGGACACACCATACCCAGCCATCCCCATGTCCCCAGCACTCAGTGCTGTCCCTATGGACACACCATACCCAGGCTGTCCCCATATCCCATGTCCCCGTCCCCAGCACTCAGTGCTGTCCCTATGGACACACCATACCCAGCCATCCCCATCCCCAGCACTCAGTGCTGTCCCTATGGACACACCATACCCAGGCTGTCCCCATATCCCATGTCCCCATCCCCAGCACTCAGTGCTGTCCCTATGGACACACCATACCCAGGCTGTCCCCATATCCCATGTGCCCGTCCCCAGCACTCGGTGCTGTCCCTATGGACACACCATACCCAGCCATCCCCATCCCCAGCACTCGGTGCTGTCCCTATGGACACACCATACCCAGGCTGTCCCCATATCCCATGTCCCCGTCCCCAGCACTCGGTGCTGTCCCGCAAGTTCGTGGATGTGATGACCAAGTACAATGAGGCGCAGGTGGACTTCCGGGAGCGCAGCAAGGGCCGGATCCAGCGGCAGCTCGAGATCAGTGCGTGCCCCCCCATAGACCCTATAGATCCCATAGATCCCATAGATGCTATAGATCACATAGACCCTATAGACCCCACAGATCATATAGACTCTATAGACCCTATAGATCACATAGACTCTATAGACCTCATAGATCCTATAGACCCTATAGATCCTATAGACCTCATAGACCCTATAGATCACATAGACCCTATAGATCCCATAAACCCTATAGATCACATAGACTCTATAGACCCCACAGATCCCATAGACCCTATAGATCACATAGACTCTATAGACCTCATAGACCCTATAGACCTCATAGACCCTATAGATGCCATAGATCCTATAGACCCCATAGACCCTATGGATCCCATAGACCTTATAGACCTCATAGACCCTATAGATCCTGTAGGCCCTATAGACCCCATAGATATTATAGACCTCATAGACCCTATAGATCCTGTAGGCCCTATAGACCCCATAGATATTATAGACCTCATAGACCCCATAGATCCCATAGACCCTATAGATCACATAGGCCCTATAGACCCCATAGACCCTGTAGATCCTTTAGGCCCTATAGACCCCATAGATCCCGTAAACCCTTTAGATCACATAGGCCCTGTAGATCCCATAGGATCTATAGATGCCATAGATCCTATAGGTCCCATAGGCCCTATAGATCACACAGGCCCTGTAGATCCCATATACCCTATAGATCCTGTAGATCCCATAGACCCTATGGATCCTATAGACCCTATAGATCACATAGGCCTGAAAGATCCCATTGACCCCATAGACCCTATAGACCCCATAAACCCTATAGACCCTATGGATCCCATAGATCCTGTAGATCCCATAGGCCCTATAGATCCCATAGACCCCATAGACCTTATAGATCCCATAGACCCCATAGACCCTATAGATCACATAGGCCCTGTAGATCCCATAGGCCCTGTAGATCCCATAGACCTCATGGATCCCATAGACTGCATAGGCCTTATAGATGCCATAGACCCTATAGATCCCATAGGCCCTGTAGATCCCATAGGCCCCATAGATCCCATAGACTGCATAGGCCTTATGGATCCCAGAGACCCCATAGACCCTATAGGTCCCATAGACCCTGTAGATCCCATAGGCCCTATAGATCCCATAGACCCCATAGACCTTATAGATCCCATAGACCCCATAGACCCTATAGATGCCATAGACCCTATAGATCCCATAGACCCTATAGATCCCATAGGCCCTGTAGATCCCATAGACCTCATGGATCCCACAGACTGCATAGGCCTTATAGACCCCATAGACCCTATAGATGCCACAGACCCTATAGACCCCATAGATCCCATAGGCCCTATAGATCCCATAGACCCTATAGATGCCACAGACCCTATAGACCCCATAGATCCCATAGGCCCTATAGATCCCATAGACCCCACAGAACCCCGGGACAGGGGATGGAACCACCACCCCTACAGACCCCGCCCCTTTTGCTAAGTGGGCGGAGCCAACCCCTACACCCCCCCCCATTCCCCTGCGCTGAAGCGGGCGGAGCCAACCCCTCAGGCCACGCCCCCCCCTCCCTCCACCAAGCGGGCGGAGCTTGTCCCTGCAGCTCCGCCCATTGAGGAAGTGGGCGGGGCCAAGCCCGCGGTGGGCGGGGCTTACACACCACACCCCACCCCGCAGCCGGTAAGAACACGACGGACGAGGAGCTGGAGGAGATGCTGGAGAGCGGGAACCCGTCCATCTTCACGGCGGGGGTGAGCCCCACATCGGGGGGGGGGTACCGGGGGGTGCCCCACATCGGGGGGGGGGTACCGGGGGGTGCCCCACATCGCTGACCCACGGCTCCCCCCTCCCCGCGTCCCAGATCATGGACTCGCAGATGTCGAAGCAGGCGCTGAGCGAGATCGAGGGGCGGCACAAGGACATCGTGCGCCTGGAGAGCAGCATCAAGGAGCTGCACGACATGTTCGTGGACATCGCCATGCTGGTGGAGAACCAGGTGGGGCGGAGCAAGGGGGAGATGGGCACGGGGTCAATGGGGAGATGGGTGTGGGGGTATGGGATCAAGGGGGAGATGGGTGTGGGGTCAATGGGGAGATGGGCACGGGGGTATGGGATCAAGGGGGAGATGGGCACGGGGTCAGGGGGGAGATGGGGATGGGGTCAATGGGGAGATGGGGATGGGGTCAGGGGGGAGATGGGGATGGGGTCAATGGGGAGATGGGGACGGGGTCAGGGGGGAGATGGGGATGGGGTCAATGGGGAGATGGGCACGGGGTCAGGGGGGAGATGGGTGTGGGATCAATGGGGAGATGGGTGTGGGGGGGTATGGGATCAAGGGGGAGATGGACATGGGGGGTATGGGACCAAGGGGGAGATGGACATGGGGGGTATGGGATCAAGGGGGAGATGGGAGTGGGGTCAATGGGGAGATGGGCACGGGGTCAGGGGGGAGATGGGTGTGGGATCAATGGGGAGATGGGTGTGGGGGGTATGGGATCAAGGGGGAGATGGACATGGGGGGTATGGGATCAAGGGGGAGATGGGTGTGGGATCAGTGGGGAGATGGGGGTGGGGGGGACAGGATCAAGGGGGAGATGGGCCCGGGGTCAGGGGGGAGATGGGCACGGGGGGTATGGGATCAAGGGGGAGATGGGTGCGGGATCAAGGGGGAGATGGGCATGGGGTGTATGGGATCAATGGGGAGATGGGCATGGGATCAACAGGGGATCCAGGGGGAGATGGGTGTGGGATCAACAGGAATATGGGCATGGGGTGTATGGGATCAATGGGGAGATGGGTGTGGGGGGTATGGGATCAATGGGGAGATGGGCACGGGGTCAGGGGGGATGGGTGTGGGATCAATGGGGACATGGGCATGGGATCAGTGGGGAGATGGGCATGGGATCAGTGGGGAGATGGGTGTGGGATCAATGGGGAAATGGGCATGGGATCAAGGGGGAGATGGGTGTGGGGGGTATGGGATCAAGGGGGAGATGGGCGTAGAATTGCATGGGATAATCTGGGATCTGAGCACAGGGACAAGCAGGAAATTGTGAATGGGATGAGCAGGGATCGGTCCATGGATGCTCAGGGATTGGTCCATGGGATGAGCAGGGATTGGTCCATGGGATGAGCAGGGATGGGTCCATGGGATGAGCAGGGATTGGTCCATGGGATGCTCAGGGATCGGTCCATGGGATGAGCGGGGATTGGTCCATGGGATGAGCAGGGATTGGTCCATGGGATGAGCGGGGATTGGTCCATGGGATGAGCAGGGATTGGTCCATGGGATGAGCGGGGATCGGTCCATGGATGCTCAGGGATTGGTCCATGGGATGAGCAGGGATTGGTCCATGGGATGAGCGGGGATTGGTCCATGGGATGCTCAGGGATTGCTCCATGGGATGAGCAGGGATCGATCCATGGGATGAGCGGGGATCGGTCCATGGGATGCTCAGGGATTGGTCCATGGGATGAGCAGGGATTGGTCCATGGGATGAGCAGGAATTGGTCCATGGATGAGCAGGGATCAGTCCATGGGATGAGCGGGAATTGGTCCATGGGATGAGCAGGGATTGGTCCATGGATGAGCAGGGATTGGTCCATGGGATGCTCAGGGATGGGTCCATGGGATGCTCAGGGATTGGTCCATGGGATGAGCAGGGATGGGTCCATGGATGAGCAGGGATTGGTCCATGGGATGCTCAGGGATTGGTCCATGGGATGAGCAGGGATTGGTCCATGGGATGAGCAGGAATTGGTCCATGGATGAGCAGGGATCAGTCCATGGGATGAGCGGGAATTGGTCCATGGGATGAGCAGGGATTGGTCCATGGATGAGCAGGGATTGGTCCATGGGATGCTCAGGGATGGGTCCATGGGATGCTCAGGGATTGGTCCATGGGATGAGCAGGGATGGGTCCATGGATGAGCAGGGATTGGTCCATGGGATGCTCAGGGATTGGTCCATGGATGAGCAGGGATCGGTCCATGGATGAGCAGGGATTGGTTCATGGGATGCTCAGGGCACCTCCCCCTGGCAATGGGGCTCACCCCCCAGGCCCCCTTCTCCCCCCCCCCACCCCTGCAGTGGAGGCACCCGGGGCTCAGCGCTGCCCCATGGCAGGTTCCATCCCCAGGGCCCGGCGGGGGGGTTGGGGGGCGGTGCCGGTGCTCACCCCACACCTCTCCCCCCCCAGGGCTCCATGATCGACCGCATCGAGAGCAACATGGACCAGTCCGTGGGCTTCGTGGAGCGCGCCGTGGCCGACACCAAGAAGGCCGTGAAGTACCAGAGCGAGGCCCGGAGGGTGAGCACGGCCCCACAGCGAGCGGCCGTCACCCCATAGAGAGCATTGAACACCCCATAGAGAGCATTGAACACCCCATAGAGAGCATTGAACACCCCATAGAGAGCATTGAACACCCCATAGAGAGCATCCGTCACCCCATAGAGAGCATTGAACACCCCATAGAGAGCATTGAACACCCCATAGAGAGCATCCGTCACCCCAGAGAGAGCATTGAACACCCCATAGAGAGCATTGAACACCCCATAGAGAGCATCCGTCACCCCAGAGAGAGCATTGAACACCCCATAGAGAGCATTGAACACCCCATAGCGAGCTGCCGCCACCCCATAGAGAGCATCCGTCACCCCATAGAGAGCATCCATCACCCCATAGAGAGCATCCGTCACCCCATAGCGAGCGGCCGTCACCCCACAGAGAGCATCCGTCACCCCATAGAGAGCATCCGTCACCCCATAGAGAGCATTGAACACCCCATAGCGAGCTGCTGCCACCCCATAGAGAGCATTGAACACCCCATAGCGAGCTGCCGCCACCCCATAGAGAGCATTGAACACCCCATAGCGAGCTGCCGCCACCCCATAGAGAGCAGCCATCACCCCATAGAGAGCATTGAACACCCCATAGAGAGCATCCGTCACCCCAGAGAGAGCATTGAACACCCCATAGAGAGCATCCGTCACCCCATAGTGAGCGGCCGTCACCCCACAGAGAGCATCCGTCACCCCATAGAGAGCATTGAACACCCCATAGCGAGCTGCCGCCACCCCATAGAGAGCATCCATCACCCCATAGTGAGCGGCCGTCACCCCATAGAGAGCATTGAACACCCCATAGCGAGCTGCCGCCACCCCATAGAGAGCATCCGTCACCCCATAGAGAGCATTGAACACCACATAGCGAGTGGCCGTCACCCCATAGAGAGCGTTGAATACCCCATAGAGCGTCCGTCACCCCATAGAGAGTGTACATCACCCTGTAGCAAGCGTCCGTCACCCACAGAGAGCATTGAACACCCCACAGAGTGTCTGTCACCCCATAGACAGCATTGAACACCACATAGAGAGTGTCTGTCACCCCATAGACAGCATTGAACACCACATAGAGAGCATCTGTCACCCCATAGACAGCATTGAATACCCCATAGAGAGCGTCCATCACCCCATAGACAGCATTGAACACCACATAGAGAGTGTCTGTCACCCCATAGACAGCATTGAACACCCCATAGAGAGCGTCCGTCACCCCATAGAGAGCAGCAATCACCCCATAGAGACCAGTGTCCCCCCATAGACCCTGTGTCCCCAGTGTCCACCAACGGCCTTACCATAGCCCCCAGTGCCCCCAATGCACCCCAGTGCCCCCCTATGACCCCAGCCCCACCTCCCCCTGTATCCCAGTGCCCCCGAGCCCCCCATGTCCCCAAACCACCCCAACACCTCTCCCCCCCCCCCAGTGACCCCCAACTGGTCCCATTCCCCCCCTTACAGCTCCATGGGGTTGGCAGCTCTGCCCCTGAGCCCCACATGTGTGGGGCAGGGCGGATCAGCCCCCATGGGGTGAGGGGGGGGGGGGGGCTCGCTGTGGGGCTGGACAGGAGATGGGCCCCATGGGGCTGGGGTGTGGGAGGGGGCAGGAGAGCCCCATGGGGGGGGGGGTGGAGACAATGTGATGGTGCCAGCACGGTGTGACTGTGGGGCTCCAGGCTATGGGGCCCAGGGTCTATGGGGCTCAGGGTCTGTGGGGCTCAGGGCTCTATGGGGCTCTATGGGGCTCAGTTCTATGGGGCCCAGGGCACTGTGTGACTCAGTTCTTTGGGATTTAGGGCTCTATGGGGCTCAGGGTCTATGGGGTTCTATGGAGCTCAGGGTCTGTGGGGCTCAGGTCAATGGGGCTCAGGGTCTGTGGGGCTCTAATGGGCTCAGGTCTATGGGGCTCAGGGCTCTATGGGGCACTATGGAGCTCAGGGTCTATGGGGCTCAGGGCTCTATGAGGCTCAGGGCTCTATGGGGCTCAGAGCTCTATGGAGCACTATGGGGCTCAGGGCTCTATGGGGCTCGGAGCTCTATGGGGCACTATGGGGCTCAGAGCTCTATGGGGCTCAATTCTATGGGGCTCAGAGCTCTATGGGGCTCAATTCTATGGGGCTCAGTGCTCTATGGGGCTCAGGGCCTGGATTTGCTCCATGCTTGCCCCCCCCATCCCTGCAGCCCCTCATCCCCTTCCCTCCCTGCCATGGGGACGCCTCCCCCTTCCCTCCTCATTCCCAACATCCCACCCCACACCCCCCCCCCATGGCGCGATCCCATCGCTGCAATTCCCCTTCCTGCCCCTCTTTATCCCCATGGGAAGGGGGCTGGACCCCTTACCCCCCCCTTCCGCTGCTCCATCCCCTTCCGACCCCCATCGCCATGGGGATGGAGCCGGCACCGCCTGGACCCCCCCCGTGGTGCGCATCCCATGGGATGAGCAATGGGAATCCAGGGGGGGGCGGTGGCTCTGCCTTCGCTGCCCCCCATCCCTATGGGGCTGGGAATACTGCCCCCTCCGGGCCTTGATATCCGTGCTGGACCCACGGCGACAGGAGGACGTGGTGGTACCCAATCCCATTGCACAACGCGATGCTTGGGGGGGGGGGGGAAGCAGCACCGGGATGAGGGTTTGGGACCGGCTGCGTCCCCCCCATCCCTTCCAGAGCAGAATTCCCCATGGATTCAATGGGACGTTCCCCATCCCTGGGCCAGGTTGGCCATAGGGCCTTGGAGCGAGGCGTTGGGCTGGGATGAGCTTCGAGCTCCCCTTTATCCCAGCCCATTCCATGATGGATCGGGATCGGTCCTGGCCATTCCCAGCACCCCACGGTCCCCCTCTTTCCCCTGCCCCACAGAAGAAGATCCTCATCATGCTCTGCTGCATCATCCTCGCCGTTATCCTGGCCTCCAGCATCGGCAGCATCTTCGCCTGAGCCCATCCCGCTGCCCCCAGGTGATGGAGCCCACACCGGGATCACCAGGGAATGGGATTGGAGCCTATGGGGGGGGGGGGGGATTCACCCCAAAGCACCAGCACGGACTGGGGGGGCAGCCCCACGTTAAGGAGGGATGGGGCCGGGGTTCCGCTGGTCCTCATCCTCCTCCCCGTTCCAGGTGGCCTTCCCCACTCCCGGATGATCCCATTGGAGCGCACCGGGACCTTGCTGTGTGTCCCCCCCACCCCGAGCATCCCGGAGGAACGGAGACCCCTGCATCCCGGCTCCCTCCCATCCCTATGGGAAGGCTCCGAGGTTCCTTCCCCCCCCTATTTCCTTTGCTCCCCATCCCATATGGGCAGCACCCGTGCTCGGAGCAGGAGGAGCAGCTTCCCCATATCCATGGGGATTCTCCCACCCCCTTGCGTGCGCGGCTCCAGCCTGCTCCCCAATAAAGCCATCACCCCAGCTCTGCCCTCGGGGGGCTCCCACACCGGGCTCACGGCTCCCTAAGGGAAGAGCCAAAAGGGGCGCAGGAATCCCGGGCTGGGATGCGAGGAACTCATCCCTGCGGCCGCCCCATCCGAGGCCCCACGGCGCTCCCCATTGCCCACGGAGCAGCGCATCCCTCGGGAAGCTTTTAATCAGGGTCCTGGGGAGCGGGATGGGGACACCCCCATATCCCAGTGGGAAACATCCCCTTGTCCTGTCCTTGCATTCCCTATGGCCATTGCCAGGATCCTGGTGAACGGGATGTGACCCCCCCCATACCCCAATGGGAACCCATCCCCTTGTCCTATCCCTGCCTTCCCTATTTCCATCACTGGGATAATGGTGAATGGGAAAACAGCCCCCTTTTCCATACCCCAATGGGAACCCATCCCCTTGTCCTATCCCTGCCTTCCCTATGGCCATCACTGTGATCCTGGTGAGCAGGATGTGACCCCCCCTTCCATATCCCAGTGAGAAGCCATCCCCTTGTCCTATCCCTGCCTTCCCTATGCCCATCACTGGGATAATGGTGAATGGGAAAACACCCCCCTTTTCCATACCCCAATGGGACCCCATTACCTTGTCCTCCCCCTGCCTTCCCTATGGCCATCACTGTGATCCTGGTGAGCAGGATGTGACCCCCCCTCCATATCCCAATGGGACCCCATTACCTTGTCCTCCCCCTGCCTTCCCTATGGCCATCACTGTGATCCTGGTGAGCAGGATGTGACCCCCCCCCATACCCCAATGGGAACCCATCCCCTTGTCCTATCCCTGCCTTCCCTATGCCCATCACTGCGATCCTGGTGAGCAGGATGTGACCCCCCCTTCCATATCCCAATGGGACCCCATCCCCTTGTCCTATCCCTGCCTTCCCTATGCCCATCACTGTGATCCTGGTGAGCAGGATGTGACCCCCCCCCATACCCCAATGGGAACCCATCCCCTTGTCCTATGCCTGCCTTCCCTATGGCCATCACTGGGATAATGGTGAATGGGAAAACAGCCCCCTTTTCCATACCCCAATGGGAACCCATCCCCTTGTCCTATCCCTGCCTTCCCTATTTCCATCACTGTGACCCTGGTGAGCAGGATGTGACCCCCCCTTCCATATCCCAATGGGAACCCATCCCCTTGTCCTATCCCTGCCTTCCCTATTTCCATCACTGGGATAATGGTGAATGGGAAAACACCCCCCTTTTCCATATCCCAATGGGAACCCATCCCCTTATCCTCCCCCTGCCTTCCCTATTTCCATCACTGTGATCCTGGTGAGCAGGATGTGACCCCCCCTCCATATCCCAATGGGAACCCATCCCCTTGTCCTCCCCCTGCCTTCCCTATGGCCATCACTGTGATCCTGGTGAGCAGGATGTGACCCCCCCTCCATATCCCAATGGGAACCCATCCCCTTGTCCTATCCCTGCCTTCCCTATGGCCATCACTGTGATCCTGGTGAGCAGGATGTGACCCCCCCTCCATATCCCAATGGGACCCCATTACCTTGTCCTCCCCCTGCCTTCCCTATTTCCATCACTGTGACCCTGGTGAGCAGGATGTGCCCCCCCCATATCCCGTTATCCTCCCGCACCCCTCACACGCGATGCTTGAGGAAGAACTTGCCCCAGTAGCGGCCGCGCAGGCGCAGGTCTCGGGGGCTCAGGTACCTCCGAGCTCCCATCATGTTGGCGCTCGCCACGCGCTCGAAGCTCCAAGGGTTCTGGTTCCGGGCCTCCCTCTCCTCCTGGTCCCGGTGCAGGCGGCGCAGGCCGGCCCTGCTGACGGGCACGGCGGGGAAGGGCAGCTTGCGTGCCGCCTGCCGCAGGAAAGGTTCCACGTGGCGGAACTCGCAGCGCCCGCCCAGCTCCAGGAGCAAGCGCCCGCTCTTGACGGCCGTCACGTAGCGGTCGATGGGGCCTTTGCCCCCTCCCATGCGGTGCCCCAAGCTCTTCTTGCTGAGCGCTTTGGAAGGGGCCGGCAGGCGCCAGATGGCGAACATGGATTTGGGGTCCATGGAACGCCCGATGGTCAAGCGCAGCATCTCCAGGTGGCCCCAGTGCAGGTAACCCCCGCCGAGCGCCTGTGGGGGGGACAGGGGGAAAGGAGGAGGTGATGGGGAAGCACCCCACAAACAGCACAGCGGGAGGCGGGCCCCCTGCGGCAGGGGGGCTGGTGATGGATATAGGGAAGGCAGGGGGAGGAGAGGGGGGGGTTCCTGTTGGGGTATGGGGTGTGGGGGTCCCCATCCTGCTCACCAGGATCACAGTGATGGGCATAGGGAAGGCAGGGGGAGGACAAGGGGATGGGTTCCCGTTGGGATATGGAGGGGGGGGGGTCCCCATCCTGCTCACCAGGATCACAGTGATGGCCATAGGGAAGACAGGGATAGGACAAGGGGATGCATTCCCATTGGGATATGGAGATGGGGGTCACACCCGTTCATCATTATCCAGTGATGGGCATAGGGAAGGCAGGGGCAGGACAAGGGGATGGGTTCCCATTGGGATATGGAAGGGGGGGGTCACATCCTGCTCCCCAGCATCCCAGTGATGTCCATAGGGAAAGCAGGGGCAGGACAAGGGGACGGCTCCCATTGGCTATGGGGTGTGTATCCCCATCCTGCTCACCAGGATCCCAGTGATGTCCATAGGGAAAGCAGGGGCAGGACAAGGGGACATTTCCCATTGGCTATGGGGTGTGTGTCCCCATCCCGCTCCCCAGGATCCCAGTGATGTCCATAGGGAATGCAGGGGCAGGACAAGGGGACGTTTCCCATTGGCTATGGGGTGTGTGTCCCCATCCCGCTCACCAGGATCCCAGTGATGTCCATAGGGAATGCAGGGGCAGGACAAGGGGACGTTTCCCATTGGCTATGGGGTGTGTGTCCCCATCCCATTCACCAGGATCCCAGTGATGTCCATAGGGAATGCAGGGACAGGACAAGGGGACGGCTCCCATTGGCTATGGGGTGTGTGTCCCCATCCCGCTCCCCAGGATCCCAGTGATGTCCATAGGGAAAGCAGGGACAGGACAAGGGGACGTTTCCCATTGGCTATGGGGTGTGTGTCCCCACCCCGCTCACCATGATCCCAGTGATGTCCATAGGGAATGCAGGGGCAGGACAAGGGGACGTTTCCCATTGGCTATGGGGTGTGTGTCCCCATCCCGCTCACCAGGATCCCAGTGATGTCCATAGGGAATGCAGACACAGGACAAGGGGATGTTTCCCATTGGCTATGGGGTGTGTGTCCCCACCCCGCTCACCAGGATCCCGAACTGCCCCTCGATGAAGTCAGTGGCCACCCGGGAAGGGCCGCGGATGTCCCGGAGCTGCCGCGGCTCCCGCCGGACCTTGGGCACCGCCGGCGCCTTCTCCAGGAACTTCAGCTTCGGCTTCTCGGGGATCACGATACCTGGGGGGGGGGGGAATGTGAGGGTAACCAGCACCCCACTGACCCCATGGGAGCCCCGGGGGGCTCCAACCCATAGAGCCCCATTAGAGCCCCATAGTGGGGTTTGTCCCCCATAGAGCCCCATTATACTCTCATTGGGGGGCTTCTACCACACAGACCCCCATTATACCCCCATGGTGGGGTTCCCCCTCATAGACCCCCATTATACCCCCATTAGGGGGTTCTCCCTTCAGAGACCCCCATTGTACCCCCATAACAGAGTTCTTCCCCCATAGACCCCCATTATACCCCCATGGGGAGGCTCCCCCCCATAGAGCCCCATTATACCCCCATAGTGGGGTTTGTCCCCCATTATACCCCCATGAGGGGGTTCCCCCTCACAGACCCCCATTATACCCATAGTGGGGTTTGTCCCCCATAGACCCCCATTATACCCCCATTACGGGGTTCTCCCTTCAGAGACCCCCATTGTACCCCCATAACAGAGTTCTTCCCCCATAGACCCCCATTATAACCCCATGGGGGGGTTCCCCCCTCATAGACCCCCATCATACCCTCACTGGGGGGCTTCTACCATGCAGACCCCCATTATACCCCCATAGTGGGGTTTGTCCCCCATTATACCCCCATGGGGGTGCTCTCCCTCCATAGACCCCCATTATACCCCCATAGGGTTTTTTTTTCCCCATAGACCGCCATTATACCCCAATGGGGGGGGGCTCTCCCTCCATAGACCCCCATTATACCCCTACAGTGGGGTCTGTCCCCCATAGACCCCCATTATACCCCCATGGGGGGTTTCTCCCCCATAGACCTCCATTATACCCCTAGGGAGGCTGTTCTCCCCCCATAGACCCCCATTAGACCCCCATGGGGGGGGTATTCTCTCCCCATAGACCCCCATTATACCCCCATGGGGGGTTTCTCCCCCCACAGAGCCCCATTATACCTCTATGGGGGCTGTTCTCCCCCCATAGACCCCCATTATACCCCTATGGGAGGCTGCTCTCTCCCCACAGACCCCCATTATACCCCCATGGGGGGGTGTTCTCCCCCCACAGACCTCCATTACACCCCCATGGGGTCTGTTCTCCCCCCACAGACCCTCATTAGACCCCATGGGGGGGTTTCTCCCCCCACAGACCCCGATTATACCCCCATGGGAGGCTGCTCTCCCCCCATAGAGCCCCATTAACCCCTATGGGAGGCAGTTGACTCCCCACAGACCCCCATTATACCCCCATGGGGGGGTTTCTCCCCCCATAGACTCCCATTATACCCCTATGGGAGGCTGCTCTCCCCCCACAAACCCCCATTACACCCCCATGGGGGGTTTCTCCCCTCATAGACCCCCATTATACCCCCATGGGGGGGTTCCCCCCCCCATAGACCTCCATTATACCCCTATGGGAGGCTGCTCTCCCCCCATAGACCCCCATTATACCCCCATGGGAGGCAGTTCACTCCCCATAAACTCCCATTATACCCCCATGGGGGCCGTTCTCCCCCCATAGACCCCCATTATGCCCCCATGGGGGCCGTTCTCCCCCCATAGACTCCCATTATACCCCTATGGGAGGCTGCTCTCCCCCCATAGACCCCCATTATACCCCCATGGGGGCCGTTCTCCCCCCACAGACCCCCATTAGACCCCCATGGAGGGGTTTCTCCCCCCATAGACCCCCATTATACCCCCATGGGGGGGTTTCTCCCCGCATAGACTCCCATTATACCCCTATGGGAGGCTGCTCTCCCCCCATAGACCCCCATTATACCCCCATGGGAGGCAGTTCACTCCCCATAAACTCCCATTATACCCCCATGGGGGCCGTTCTCCCCCCATAGACTCCCATTATACCCCCATGGGGGGGTTTCTCCCCCCATAGACTCCCATTATACCCCTATGGGAGGCCGCTCTCCCCCCATAGACCCCCATTACACCCCCATGGTGGTGTTCTCCCCCCATAGACCCCCACATCCCCCCCTCACCGCTGTAGTCCGGGGGCATCACCAGCTTCTTGAGGCCCGCCCGGGGCGCGGTGACACCGGCGGGACCTGGGGACAGAGCGGAGCTGAGGCAGCGGGAACGGCGATCCCAGCACCCCGGACCCGGGCACACAGGGCCCCATTGTGCCCCATTGTGCCCCATAGAGCCCCACAGAGCCCCACAGAGCCCCACTGAGCCCCACAGCGCGGCCCCATCTGACCTGCCCGGGTCAAGAGCGGCGCCAGGAGCCGCCATCCCAACATGGCCGCCACCACTTCAGTACCGGTAGGGCGTCGCCATGTTGTACGTCCCTAAAAGGGGCACTTCCGGTTGTTGGTCCCCTCCACACACCCCACCCCCCCCACCGGAAACACGGAGCAGGAACTTTAGTTCCGGGTGGAATTCCCACTGCTTTGGGGCGTTCCATGGGGTCGCAACTCCCCCCATGGCCTCGGGGTCCGGTTGAGCCCCCCCAGCATCCCTCCCCATGGCGTCCCACACACACAAACACGCATAGGGCTGTGCTGCGAATGATGCTTTATTGGGGGGGGGGGTCCCTCGATGGGCTCAGTAGGTGCTGAACACAGCCTGGATGTGCTCCCCGTCCTGCGGCTTGTAGAGACCGACCCCTGCCGTGCGGGCATGGGATGAGCCGTGGGGCACGGGCCCCATCCTGCATCCCTGCCGCAGAGCCATGGCATGGGCCCCCCATGCCATTATAGGTCCTTCCCAACCCAACCCGTTCCATGGATCCATATGATCGATGGATCCATTCCAATGGATCCTCTTGCCCTGATGTTGAGCCAACCCAATGGATCCCACCCCATGGGAGCAGCTCCCATCCCACCTCCCATTCCATGGATCCATTCCAATGGATCCTCTTGCCCTGATGTTGAGCCAACCCAATGGATCCCACCCCATGGGAGCAGCTCCCATCCCACCTCCCATTCCATGGATCCATTCCAATGGATCCTCTTGCCCTGATGTTGAGCCAACCCAATGGATCCCACCCCATGGGAGCAGCTCCCATCCCACCTCCCATTCCATGGTTCCATTCCAATGGATCCTCTTGCCCTGATGTTGAGCCAACCCAATGGATCCCACCCCATTGGAGCAGCTCCCATTCCATAAATCCATATGATCGATGGATCCATTCAATGGATCCTCTTGCCCTGGGGCTCAGCCAACCCAATGGATCCCACCCCATTGGAGCAGCTCCCATTCCATAAATCCATATGATCGATGGATCCATTCCAATGGATCCTCTTGCCCTGGGGCTGAGCCAACCCAATGGATCCCACCCCATTGGAGCAGCTCCCATCCCACCTCCCATTCCATGGATCCATTCCAATGGATCCTCTTGCCCTGGGGCTCAGCCAACCCAATGGATCCCACCCCATGGGAGCAGCTCCCATCCCACCTCCCATTCCATGGATCCATTCCATGGATCCTCTTGCCCTGATGTTGAGCCAAACCAATGGATCCCACCCCATTGGAGCAGCTCCTATCCCAGCACCCATTCCATGGATCCATTCCATGGATCCTCTTGTCCTGATGTTGAGCCAACCCAATGGATCCCACCCCATGGGAGCAGCTCCCATCCCACCTCCCATTCCATGGATCCATTCCAATGGATCCTCTTGCCCTGGGGCTGAGCCAACCCAATGGATCCCACCCCATGGGAGCAGCTCCCACCCCTCTCCCATTCCATGGATCCATTCCAATGGATCCTCTTGCCCTGATGTTGAGCCAACCCAATGGATCCCACCCCATTGGAGCAGCTCCTATCCCAGCACCCATTCCATGGATCCATTCAATGGATCCTCTTGCCCTGGGGCTGAGCCAACCCAATGGATCCCACCCCATGGGAGCAGCTCCCATCCCACCTCCCATTCCATGGATCCATTCCATGGATCCTCTTGCCCTGATGTTGAGCCAACCCAATGGATCCCACCCCATGGGAGCAGCTCCCATTCCATAAATCCATATGATCGATGGATCCATTCAATGGATCCTCTTGCCCTGGGGCTCAGCCAACCCAATGGATCCCACCCCATTGGAGCAGCTCCTATCCCAGCACCCATTCCATGGATCCATTCCAATGGATCCTCTTGCCCTGGGGCTGAGCCAACCCAATGGATCCCACCCCATTGGAGCAGCTCCTATCCCAGCACCCATTCCATGGATCCATTCCAATGGATCCTCTTGCCCTGGGGCTGAGCCAACCCAATGGATCCCACCCCATGGGAGCAGCTCCCATCCCACCTCCCATTCCATGGATCCATTCCATGGATCCTCTTGCCCTGATGTTGAGCCAACCCAATGGATCCCACCCCATGGGAGCAGCTCCCATTCCATAAATCCATATGATCGATGGATCCATTCAATGGATCCTCTTGCCCTGGGGCTCAGCCAACCCAATGGATCCCACCCCATTGGAGCAGCTCCTATCCCAGCACCCATTCCATGGATCCATTCCAATGGATCCTCTTGCCCTGGGGCTGAGCCAACCCAATGGATCCCACCCCATGGGAGCAGCTCCCATTCCATAAATCCATATGATCGATGGATCCATTCAATGGATCCTCTTGCCCTGGGGCTCAGCCAACCCAATGGATCCCACCCCATTGGAGCAGCTCCTATCCCAGCACCCATTCCATGGATCCATTCCAATGGATCCTCTTGCCCTGGGGCTGAGCCAACCCAATGGATCCCACCCCATTGGAGCAGCTCCTATCCCAGCACCCATTCCATGGATCCATTCCAATGGATCCTCTTGCCCTGGGGCTGAGCCAACCCAATGGATCCCACCCCATTGGAGCAGCTCCCATCCCACCTCCCATTCCATGGATCCATTCCAATGGATCCTCTTGCCCTGGGGCTGAGCCAACCCAATGGATCCCACCCCATTGGAGCAGCTCCTATCCCAGCACCCATTCCATGGATCCATTCCAATGGATCCTCTTGCCCTGGGGCTGAGCCAACCCAATGGATCCCACCCCATGGGAGCAGCTCCCATCCCACCTCCCATTCCATGGATCCATTCCATGGATCCTCTTGCCCTGATGTTGAGCCAACCCAATGGATCCCACCCCATGGGAGCAGCTCCCATTCCATAAATCCATATGATCGATGGATCCATTCAATGGATCCTCTTGCCCTGGGGCTCAGCCAACCCAATGGATCCCACCCCATTGGAGCAGCTCCCATCCCACCTTCCTGCAGAGCATCGCTGCCGCTGAGGAACCGCCAGTACGTCCGATCCGCGGCGCTCCCGGCCAGCCCGTGGATGGACACCACCATGATCCCCCAGGACGTCTGCTCCGTCTGGAAGCTTCCACAGAGGCACATAGGGGAACCTGCCCCTAAACCCCTTGGGCCCTCCCCTATGGAGGCTATAGGGCTCACCTATAGACTTATAGGTCACCTATGGGGTCTATAGGTCTCATGTACAGAGTTACAGGTCTCAACTATAGAATCTATAGGTCTCATCTATAGAGTGATAGGTCTCACCTGTAGCATCTATAGGCCTCCCCTATAGAGTTATAGCTCTCACCTATCGAATCTATAAGTCTCACCTATCGAGTTATAGGTCACCTATGGAGTCTATAGGCCTCCCCTATAGAATTATAGGTCTCACCTATAGAGTCTATAGGCCTCACCTATAGAATCTATAGGTCTCCCCTATAGCATTATAGGCCTCACCTATAGCCTCTATAGGCCTCCCCTATAGCCCCTCTAGGTCTCCCCTATAGCATCATAGGCCTCCCCTATAGAATCTATAGGTCTCCCCTATAGCATTATAGGCCTCCCCTATAGCCCCTCTAGGTCTCCCCTATAGCCCCTCTAGGTCTCCCCTATAGCATCATAGGCCTCCCCATAGAATCTATAGGTCTCCCCTATAGCATCATAGGCCTCACCTATAGAATCTATAGGTCTCCCCTACAGCATCATAGGCCTCCCCTATAGCCCCTCTAGGCCTCCCCTTACAGCATCATAGGCCTCCCCTATGGAATCTATAGGTATCCCCTACAGCATCATAGGCCTCCCCTATGGAATCTATAGGTCTCCCCTACAGCATCATAGGCCTCACCTATAGAATCTATAGGTCTCCCCTACAGCATCATAGGCCTCCCCTATAGAATCTATAGGTCTCCCCTATAGCATCATAGGCCTCCCCTATAGAATCTATAGGTATCCCCTACAGCATCATAGGCCTCACCTATAGAATCTATAGGTCTCCCCTACAGCATCACAGGCCTCACCTATAGAATCTATAGGTCTGCCCTACAGCATCATAGGCCTCCCCTATAGAATCTATAGGTCTCCCCTACAGCATCATAGGCCTCCCCTATAGAATCTATAGGTCTCCCCCACAGCATCATAGGCCTCCCCTATGGAATCTATAGGCCTCTCCTACAGCATCACAGGCCTCACCTATAAAATCTATAGGTCTCCCCTACAGCATCACAGGCCTCACCTATAGAATCTATAGGTCTGCCCTACAGCATCATAGGCCTCCCCTATAGAATCTATAGGTCTCCCCTACAGCATCACAGGCCTCACCTATAGAATCTATAGGTCTCCCCTACAGCATCACAGGCCTCCCCTATAGAATCTATAGGTCTCCCCTACAGCATCACAGGCCTCACCTATAGACCTCGGGGTTCTCCTCGGCCGCTGCCTCCATGACCTGCAGCAGCGTGGAGCCGGCGGGGACGCGCACGGCGGTGCTGAAGCCGAAGGGCTTGCCCTGGAGGCGGTTGGTGACGGAGAACAGCACGGTGATGGGCTCCGCTGCCGGGGATGCGGGTTACGGGGCGGCACCGGGGATGCGGAGCAGGAGCATCCCTCCCCTTGGGGACCAGCGGTACCTGCGGCTGCGGGCGCGCGCCGGGAGGAGCAACCCGCGCTCGCCGCGTCCAGGTAGGTCCTGCCCAGCAGCGCGGGCACGAGCTGGGCGATGGCCGTGGGCAGCTGGAAGCGATGCTCGGACACCGCGGCCACGGCTCGGGAGCAATCCCATCGCCGAGGGGCGTAAAAGGCCCCTGCGGATTGCAGCGCCTGCGGAGCACGCGGGGAATGGTGGGGCCGCGGTCGCGGATGCCGGTGGGGTCCGTCCCACGCCGGCCCCGTGTACCTGCATGGCCAGCCCCATGCTGTAGATGTTCCCTATGAGGCCGCCGCTCTGCTCCTGCTCGTCCAGGAAGGCGATGGTGACCTCGGCCACAGCCTCTCGGAGCAGGTCCCGCACGTCCTCCAGGTCCGTGCGCCCATGGGTGCACACCAGCGCCAGCACCGCCATGGCCCGGGTGTCTGGGACATTCCCCCCCCCCCCCACCCCCACCGTCACCATCGGGATGTGTGGGGCTGGCAGAGGGGGGTGCAATGGGGCTGGGGGCGCTCACCCACGGAGAGGGGGCTGGAGGGGCTCAGCAGCTCCTTGGCCAGCTCCACGGAGGCCTCTTGGTAGCCACCAACCCCGGCCAGGCACAGGCTGAGGGCGTCCAGGCTGACGCTGTAAAGGGTGGTCCTGGGGACACCTTCGACCTCTGCAGGGGGAATGTGGGGTGGGGATGGGGGGCGATGGGGGGTGATGGGGGGGGTGGCGAGGAGATGGATGATGATGGGAAAATGATGGGGGGATGACAGAGGATGATGGGGGGTGATGGGGATGATGGGGGGTGATGGGGAGGTGATGGGGAGGTGATGGGGAGGCAATGGGGATGTGATAGGGATGATAGGGAATGATGGGGATGAGGGGGAGGTAACGGGGAGGTGATGTGGATAAGGGGGAATGATGGGGAGATGATGAGGAGGTGATGGGGATGATGGTGAATGATGGGGATGATGGGGAGGTGATGGGGAGGTGATGGGGAGGTGATGGGGAGGTGATGGGGAGGTGATGGGAGGTGATGGGATGATGGGGAGGTGATGGGGAGGCAATGGGGATGTGATAGGGATGATGGGGAGATGATGGGGATGATAGGGAATGATGAGGATGAGGGGGAGGTAACGGGGAGGTGATGTGGATAAGAGGGAATGATGGGGAGGTGATGAGGAGGTGATGGGGATGATGGTGAATGATGGGGATGATGGGGAGGTGATGGGGATGATGGTGAATGATGGGGATGATGGGGATGATGGGGAGGTGATGGGGAGATGATGGGGAGGTGATGGGAGGTGATGGGGATGATGGGGAGGTGATGGGGAAGTGATGGGGAGATGACGGGGAGGCAATGGGGATGATGGGGAGGTGATGGTGATGATGGGGAATGATGGGAAGATGATGGGGAGGTGATGGGGAGATGATGGGGAGGCAATGGGGATGATGGGGAATGATGGGGAGGTGATGGGAGGTGATGGGGAGGTGATGGGGAATGATGGGGAGGTGATGGGGAGGTCATGGGGATGTGATAGGGATGATGGGGAGGTGATGGGGAATGATGGGGAGGTGATGGGGAGGTAATGGGGATGTGATAGGGATGATGGGGAGATGATGGGGATGATAGGGAATGATGGGGATGAGGGGGAGGTAACGGGGAGGTGATGTGGATAAGGGCGAATGATGGGGAGGTGATGGGAAGGTGATAGGAGGTGATGGGGGGTAATGGAGAGGTGATGGGAGGTGATGGGAGTTGGTGGGAGGTGATGGGGAATGATGGGGATGGTGAGGAGGTGATGGGGATGATGGGGAGATGATGGGGGGAAGATGGAGGTGATGGAGGTGAGGGAGATGATGGGGATGATGGGGATAATGAGGAAGTGATGGGGAGATGATGGGGGGAAGATGGAGGTGATGGAGGTGAGGGAGATGATGGAGATTATGGGGATAATGAGGAAGTGATGGGGAGATGATGGGGGTGATCAGGGATGTTGGGGGGAGAGGATGGGGAGGTGATGGGGGACGACGGGGAGATGACGGGGGGGCAATGTAGAGGAGATGATGACGGAGAGAGGACGGGGAGAGGATGGGGAGGCGCTGGGGACGCAGGCAGGAGGCAGCCCCAGTGTCCCCCCCCCCCCAACATCCCACCCTACCCATGTTGGCCAGCTCCCCGTCGGTCGCCTGCTGCAGGATGCGGAGCAGGTCAACGCTCAGCCCCAGGGCCTGGACCTGCTGCGGGTCCTGGCAGGAGGAGAGGAAGGCGAGCACGAGCAGAGCCACCTCCCCCGAGGCCATGTCTGTGGGGACAGGGGGATCGGAGCGGTACCACCAGGCCCTATGGGATGCGGGGAGCATCCCCTGCCCCGCTCCTACCTTTCGGGGCCCTCTTCACCGCCTCCTCCTTCAGCTGCTGGAGCAGCAGCTTCTGCGCTTCCCTGCTGGAGGAGCCGGCCAGGTTCAGGGCCAGGAGGACGCTGGGGTTGGGGCTCGCATCCTCCAGCGCGGAGCTCTCCAAGCGCTGCAGCAGCTCCGACACCAGCGCCTGTGGGGCCGCTGTGGGGAGAGAGGGGCTGGGGGTCACCGGGCCCCCCCCCCCCCAAAACAGGGTCCCGGGGCCCTTTATGGCTCCTGGGCGCCGCACTCACCGCAGCCCTGCGCCCATGGGGCACCCAGCAGGGCCAGCAGGACGCCGAGGGACAAAGGCACATGGAGCATCCTCTGGGGCCAGAGCAGCGCTCTCGGCTGCCCAAGCCTCCTTGGTTCCTTATAACAGGTCCCGGTGCCCTTTCCCGGTCACCTTCCCGTAGCCACCGTGTCACCGCCAGGCACCGCCGGCTTATCTGGGTCCCTGGGCTGGGTGCTGGCTGCGGGCACTGGGATTTTCCATTGGAGGTCATTGGGAAGGAGCAGTGGAACCGTGGGGTGGGGTGGGATGAAGGGAGCTTAAAACTCCTCCAGCTCCAACCCTGGAGCAGGGGGCTCCAAGCCCCATGGTCCTTGAGCACTGCCAGGGATGGGGCAGCCACAGCTTCTCTGGGCACCCTGTGCCAGCGCCTCAGCACCCTCCCAGGGAAGAGCTTCTGCTGAGAGCTCATCTCAGTCTCCCCTCGGGCAGGTTCAAGCCATTCCCCTTGGCCTGTCCCTACATCCCTTGTCCCAAGCCCCTCTCCAGGTTTCCTGCAGCCCCTTCAGGCACTGGAGCTGCTCTCAGGTCTCCCCTTCAGGAGCCCCTCGCAGCATCCCCATGTCCCCCCTCTGGGCTCTCTCAAGCAGAGCCCATCCCTGTTCGGATGCCCCCAGCTCCGCAGGGGCTCCGTGCACGGCTCCAGGCTCACACGGGGCTGGTTCTGCTCCGGGCCTTTCCTCCTCAACCTGCTCATGATTATTGCAGAGGCAGGAGCAGAAATAACCGGGAGCGAGTGAATAATCCATGAGCCTGGGCAGGGCAGGGGGGAAACAAGGCAGGACCCATCCAACACAACCCAGAGCCCAAGGGCTGGCTCCAACAACAGCCCTGACCCTGCTCTGGGGCTGGAGATGGGCTTCGTCCCCAAGGAACGGGATAAATCTCACCTTAAGGCACCAACAACGCACCAGGGGCTCGCTCCTCCCCTCCCCTCCAGCCCCAGCTTTTGGGATGCGACAGCAATACCGCGCTTCCTCAGCGCGGTGGAGGATGCTCATCACCACCCCTGCAGGGTGCTCAAGGATGGAGCTCCCGAACGAGCTCTTTAGAGGCAAAAAAAAAACCCTTTTCTGGTTAAAAAGAGCTCAGGAATCTCCATTTCCAACCCCAAAATGAGGGATTGTTGCGGGGTTGCATCGCTGGTGATGCTCAGGAGGTGATGCTCAACCCGCTGCAGCCCCATGGGTTGAGCATCATCAGGTGTCCCTGCGTCAGCCCAAGGAGCGGTCCTGGTGGAGCTGCTGCCACCACCACCCTTGCCATTGGCTTCCCAGCTGCTCCAGCAGCCCTGGAACGATTTCAAGGCTGGAATAGGGTGGAAGAATCCCTTAGGAGCAGAGGCGGTGTGCAGGGACCTTCATCTCACCCTCCCCAATGGGACCAGCCGGGCACCAAAGACCCCTAAAGCCCCACAGCGGGTTTGGGGAGGGAAGTGAAGCTTCTGCGTTGAGGTAACCCCAAAAGAGGAGCCACAAACCCAGAGAGAGCCTTTATTCCAAAGAGGAAGGGAAGCCGAGGGGTCCGAGCCGAGGAAGATGCTCTGGCTCCCAGCACACGTTGGGATCTCTCCATGAGCACCAAGGAGGCCCTGAGCCCCAACAGGGTACTTATAGGCAGAACCACCCCATGGAGCCCCAAAACAACCCCTGGGGAAGCAGCCAGCAAGCAAAGAGCCCCCCCCTCCCTTCTTTCCCCTCACCTTGAGGCCTGAAGCAATGGGGAGGGGAATTGGGGGGTGCTTGCTGGCTTGGGGAGCAGGGAGCAGCGCACCCCAGCCTGCAGCGCGGTGGGAGGAGGATGCTGTGGGGCCGGGGATGGAGACAGGACCCACACCGATGTCCTCGTGGGCCAGCACCGGGTTAGACCTCGGGAGCAGCGAGCTGCAAAGGAAGCCAAGAGGTGGGAGATGGGGCTTGGGTGAGCCCCCGGCACCCACCACCCCATGGGGACTCCGGCTCCCTGCGCCCGGCAGCGAGTGCAGAGCATCGAGGGCAAGGTGCTGGAGTGATCCCTGGGGATGGGGGGACATGCAAGGGTTGGATGCTGCTCCTGGGAGCCAGCAGCAGAGCTGGGGCTGGGCTAAATGGGGTTGGACCTGCTCCGAACTGGGGCTTTGCTCTGCTTCTACGTGGGGTTTGCTCTGCTCCTCCATGGGGTTTGCTCTGCTCCTCCATGGGGTTTGCTCTGCTCCTCCATGGGGTTTGCTCTGCTCCTCCATGGGGTTTGCTCTGCTCCTCCATGGGGTTTGCTCTGCTCCTCCATGGGGTTTGCTCTGCTCCCCCATGGGGTTTGCTCTGCTCCTCCATGGGGTTTGCACTGCTCCTCCATGGGGTTTGCTCTGCTCCTCCATGGGGTTTGCTCTGCTCCCCCATGGGGTTTGCTCTGCTCCTCCATGGGGTTTGCACTGCTCCTCCATGGGGTTTGCTCTGCTCCTCCATGGGGTTTGCTCTGCTCCTCCATGGGGTTTGCACTGCTCCTCCATGGGGTTTGCTCTGCTCCTCCATGGGGTTTGCTCTGCTCCTCCATGGGGTTTGCACTGCTCCTCCATGGGGTTTGCTCTGCTCCTCCATGGGGTTTGCTCTGCTCCTCCATGGGGTTTGCTCTGCTCCTCCATGGGGTTTGCTCTGCTCCTCCATGGGGTTTGCACTGCTTCTACATTGGGGTTTGCACTGCTCCTCCATGGGGTTTGCACTGCTCCTCCATGGGGTTTGCTCTGCTCCTCCATGGGGTTTGCTCTGCTCCTCCATGGGCTTTGCTCTGCTCCCCCATGGGCTTTGCTCTGCTCCCCCATGGGGCTCCCCGTGCTCCGTGGGGCTGGAGCTCACCTCGGTGTAGCTGGGGGGCTGCGGCATCTCAGCCGATGGGGCTGCCAGGTCCACCCGCGTGGTGCTGGGCACGATCAGCATGGACTGGGGGGGGGACACACGAAACAAGGGGGTAAAGCAGCGCTATGGGTCCAGACAGGGCTCAGCCCCCAACTTGCCCTGCACCCCCTGCCCTACCTCATTGGAGCTGAGGCGAGTGGCCCTGCACCAGAAGTTCGCCGTGGCCACGGCGATGCAGAACTCGAGGATGGTGAAGATGAGCAGCACGATGGAGATCCCGTTCCCTGCGAGCTCCAGGGTGGGGGGAAAACCTCCTCAAGGAGGAGGAATCCCCATGGAACCCATCCCACCCCATAGATTGGGGCTCCCTTCACCCCACGGCCCGCCCCAAGGGGTACCAAGGAGCCCTCCGCGTCGCTGCTTTGATGGCTTTTGGGGCGCTTCCAGCCTGAGTCATCGCCCGCAAATAGGGCAGGAAGGCGGCGCGGCGCCGGCAGCCGGCTCCGGGCAGGGCCATGGCTCTCCCCCCCCCCACAACCAGCCCCATAGAGCAGCGTGGAACAGCGCCCTCCCCTCCGAAGGGATGGAGAAGGGAGAAGGGAATGGATTCAAGGGGAAGAAGAGCCTGGAAAAGCACACACACACCCCCATATCCCAGGAACCGGTCGGGAAGGATCCAGGAGGATAAAGAACGGGAGAAGGGGATGCTCCCCAATGGCAGAGGGGCTTGGAAAAGCTCCCCGTTTCCCAGGAAGGGGTCAGGAAACCTCCAGGAGGGATAGAGAAGGGGGAGAAAGGGATGTTCCCAAAGGAGGAGCCTGGAAAACCTTCCCCCATGTCCCAGGAAAGGCTCAGGAAGCATTCAAAGGGATGCAGAAGGGGGGAAAAGGATGTTCCCAAAAGGAAAAGGAGCCTGGAAAAGCCTCTCATGTCCTAGGAAAGGCTCAGGAAGCATTCAAAGGGATGCAGAGGGGGGGAAAGGGATGTTCCCAAAAGGAAAAGGAGCCTGGAAAAGCCTCTCATGTCCCAGGAAAGGCTCAGGAAGCATTCAAAGGGATGCAGAAGGGGGGAAAAGGATGTTCCCAAAAGGAAAAGGAGCCTGGAAAAGCCTCTCATGTCCCAGGAAAGGCTCAGGAAGCATTCAAAGGGATGCAGAGGGGGGGAAAGGGATGTTCCCAAAAGGAAAAGGAGCCTGGAAAACTTTCCCTCATGTCCCAGGAAAGGCTCAGGAAGCATTCAAAGGGATGCAGAGGGGGGAAAGGGATGTTCCCAAAAGGAAAAGGAGCCTGGAAAAGCCTCTCATGTCCCAGGAAAGGCTCAAGAAGCATTCAAAGGGATGCAGAGGGAGGAAAGGGATGTTCCCAAAAGGAAAAGGAGCCTGGAAAAGCCTCTCATGTCCCAGGAAAGGCTCAGGAAGGGATGGAGAAGGGAGAAAGGGATGTCCCCAAAAGGCAGAGGGGCCGGGAAAGGTCCCCTATTTCCCAGGAAAGGCTCAGGAAGGGATGGAGAAGGGATGCGGAAGGGGGAAAAGGATGCTCCCAAAAGGCTTCTACCCGGGTTCAGGCAGGTCCGGGCTAGAAGCAAAGGGGGGCCCAGGCTGTGCCCCCCCACCTACCAGGACCAAGTAGCCGTAGTAGTTGAAGCCGGAGTGATAGAGCCCGTTGAGGTTGAGGTCCACGATGAAGGCCACGATGCCCAGGAGGGCGAAGATGGCGCTGATGATGTTCATGGTCTGGCTGCCCTTCACCTGCGGGCGCAGAAGGGCTTTGGGGGCAGCGCAGGGATGTGGGGCGGCCCCAGACCCCATAGGGACACCCATCACTGTGGGTCTATGTCAGGGTAACAGCAAGGCGGGGGGGGGGGGTTGATCCTTTCCTTCCTTCCCATTGCCAGGAATACTCCTGCGAAAGGCTTTGCCCTGATGGGGTTTGGGGCTGCTCCCCCCCCCCCCCAATCCTGCACCCACTTTGGGGTGCCCAGCACCACTCACCGCACACTCTGTGGGGCTCTTCTCTGCCCCGATGGACAGACAGCCCGAGATGATGAACTGCCAAAAGGGGAGAGGGGAGGGGGGGACCACAGTGAAACACGGCCATGGTCACCCCAAATACCACCCCCACCACCACCACCCCAGCATCAGCGACCCATAGGGTCCTGGGGGCACGGTGAGCTCATTGCGTGCTGTTAGGCATTGACTTTGAAAGCCTTCTCCCTGGGAGGACCGGGATGGCGGCGGGCACCATTCCCAACGGGAATCCCTGCCGGTGGGCATCATTCCCGGTGGGAATCCCTCCCCGTCCCCACACTACGCACGGACACGCCGCCCAGGAAAGGGATCTCTCCGATGACGAAGACGGAGGTGTAGACGTTGGTGAGCGTGGTGAGGACGATCCCGAAGCCGATGTGCATGAAGCCGGTCATGATTTGGATGGTCTATGGGATAGCGCCGGGATAGAGCGGGAGCAAGCCATACAAACACCCCCCCCCCCCCTTCCCGCATCCCGGGATGGGGGTCCCCTTGTCCCCAAGCTGGAGCATTGCAAAGGGGATGAGCAGGAGGGGGTAGAAACCCTCGGGAATGAGGCAGAAACAGCGGGAATGGGGCAGGGAAAGGATTCCCCGGGAATTGCCCCCCCCCCCCGGACTCACCCCCATGACTCGGTTCTTGCCCTTGGGCAGGGTCTCGGCCGTGTACATCACTGCGCGGCTGCCGAGCCGCAGGCTCCCCATGCCCTGCATGGAAGCGGCGGGGGGGGGGCAAAGGGACGCCCCCTCCCCGGTCCCGGAGCAGCCCCGCTCCCCACCGGGGGCGTTCCTACCCCCCCCCCCCCCCCCCCAATCCCGCGGCCTCGCCCAGCCACGCCCCCCAAGGCCGGGCGCTCATTGGGGGGCCGCGGGTGACGTCAGAGGCTGCGGCACCCCCCCCGGCCACCGCCCAGCCCCATCGCGGACCCCGCCGTCCGGCCGCGCATCACGGGGTGAGCAGGGGATACGGAGCGTATAGGAACGTATAGGAGCATATAGGAACATACAGGACCGTAATGGGGGTGATGGAAGAAGCAGCTCCCCACAACTCTATGGGGTGGGTGGGAGATGCTCACTGGTACCCGCTCCTTAGGGGAAGATGCTCAATGGTACCCGCCCCTTAGGGGAAGATGCTCAGTGGTATCCACTCCCGAGGGGAAGATGCTCAATGGTACCCGCTCCTTAGGGGAAGATGCTCAGTGGTACCCGCTCCTTAGGGGAAGAGGCTCAGTGGTACCCACTCCTTAGGGGAAGATGCTCAGTGGTACCCGCTCCTTAGGGGAAGATGCTCAATGGTACCCACTCCTTAGGGGAAGATGCTCACTGGTACCCACTCCTTAGGGGAAGATGCTCAGTGGTACCCGCTCCTTAGGGGAAGATGCTCAGTGGTACCCGCTCCTTAGGGGAAGAGGCTCAGTGGTACCCACTCCTTAGGGGAAGATGCTCAGTGGTACCCGCTCCTTAGGGGAAGATGCTCAATGGAACCCACTCCCGAGGGGAAGATGCTCAGTGGTACCCGCTCCTTAGGGGAAGAGGCTCAGTGGTACCCGCTCCTTAGGGGAAGATGCTCACTGGTACCCGCTCCTTAGGGGAAGATGCTCAGTGGTACCCGCTCCTTAGGGGAAGATGCTCAGTGGTACCCGCTCCTTAGGGGAAGATGCTCAGTGGTACCCACTCCTTAGGGGAAGATGCTCAGTGGTACCCGCTCCTTAGGGGAAGATGCTCAGTGGTATCCACTCCCGAGGGGAAGATGCTCAGTGGTACCCGCTCCTTAGGGGAAGATGCTCAGTGGTACCCACCCCGTTGAGGAAGATGCTCAGTGGTACCCTCTCCTTAGGGGAAGATGCTCAGTGGTACCCTCTCCTTAGGGGAAGATGCTCAGACCCCATCCCCCAGCACACACATAGGAAAGGATGCTTGACAAAAGCTATTCCCCGAAGTGTTTTGTGCCCCCCCCCGAAAAGCTCCTGGCTGAGCTACAGCCCCATTTACAGCCCCCCCCCGGCCAAGGCTGTGGTTGCAGGAGCTCAGACAGGAGGGAATAAAGAGAAAATGAAGAAAGCAAAAAGCTCTTTGCAGCCAGTTCCTGGCAGCAAGATCCATCAAGGCCATTAGGCACAAAGCATCTCCTGCCTGAAAGCTGGGGCTGTGGAGAGCATCACGGGGGGGGCTGGATACCCACATTCCCCCACCCCATGGGGGCTTCACACCCTGGCCAATGGGGTCCAGCCAAGAGCTCCATGAACACCCCATGTCAGTAAACGAAAGCCCCATGGATGGAGTTGGGGGGCACGAGGGATCACCCCTCCGACCATCCCCCTGCGTCTGGCCTGGGGCCCCCCTACCCAAGCAATCCTGGGGGGGGGGGGGGGTGGGAGAGCACCAAGACCCCTTCAGCCCATCTCCAATGGCAGCTTCAGGCACTGCAGCCCCAAAGCTGAGGTGCCAACAAGCTCCTCCATGGGACAATACCCCCCCCCCCCCCCTTCCCCCAGCACCCATGGGTGCATCACCAAAGGATGGAGCTGAAGGACGCTCGCATTTATTCCTATACCAAGGATGCTCACATTTATTCCTATACCAAGGATGCTCACACCACGGCAGGGTCCCCATGAGCATGGGGGGGCCCCATGGCTGCGGTGGGGGCCAGGACCATAGCACTGGGCTCCCCCGGGGCTGCCTCGGGGCCCCCCCTCCTGTTCTCACCCCAGTGCCGCCGCATGGAGCAATAGCAGCCGGTCACGGCCACGGCAACGAGGACGGAGCTCATGGCCACCATGGCCAGTGTGGGGCCAGGGATGGGGAGAGACAGGCCTGTGGGGAGAGCAATGGGGTGAGGGGGAGTGACAATGGGGCGGGCGGCAATGGGGCAGAGGGGGGGGGCGGCAGTGGGGCAGACGGAGGGGGGCGGCAATGGGGCAGACGGAGGGGGGCGGCAGTGGGGCAGACGGAGGGGGGCGGCAGTGGGGCAGACGGAGGGGGGCGGCAGTGGGGCAGACGGAGGGGGGCGGCAGTGGGGCAGACGGAGGGGGGCGGCAATGGGGCAGACGGAGGGGGGCGGCAATGGGGCAGACGGAGGGGGGCGGCAGTGGGGCAGACGGAGGGGGGCGGCAGTGGGGCAGACGGAGGGGGGCGGCAGTGGGGCAGACGGAGGGGGGCGGCAGTGGGGCAGACGGAGGGGGGCGGCAATGGGGCAGACGGAGGGGGGCGGCAGTGGGGCAGACGGAGGGGGGCGGCAGTGGGGCAGACGGAGGGGGGCGGCAGTGGGGCAGACGGAGGGGGGCGGCAGTGGGGCAGACGGAGGGGGGCGGCAATGGGGCAGACGGAGGGGGGCGGCAATGGGGCAGACGGAGGGGGGCGGCAGTGGGGCAGACGGAGGGGGGCGGCAGTGGGGCAGACGGAGGGGGGCGGCAGTGGGGCAGACGGAGGGGGGCGGCAGTGGGGCAGACGGAGGGGGGCGGCAGGGTCCCCCCCAGCTCCATGGGGCAGCTCACACTCACCCGAGTCCCTGCTCTCGCCCCGCACTATGGGCACCGAGGGGCTGCGAGGTGACGGCTCTGCTGCCCTAGGGAACGCTGTGGGGAGCAGGGATGAGCTGGGAAGAGCTGGGAGCAGCCCCAAGGGGCCGAAGCGGACGGTGGCTTCCCGCAGGAGCGCTGCGAGGAGGAGAGCGTCAGGTCCGGGTATCCCCATGGGGAGCCCGGATCCCACCGTGGGAGCCGAGATCCGCCTCACCTCGGCTGCTGGCGAAGCGCCGGCGCCGGCCCCTGCAGCCGGATGGGGAAGCGCAGCAGGAGCAGCCGGCTCCGTGCCGGGAATGCCAGGAACGGGATACGGGATCATAGGAGCAGGTTCTGCCCACGGTGCTGCCGGCGCCCTCGGCCACGGCCCTCGGGTGGCAGCGGAGATGGAGCTGCAGGGACAAGCACCTTGAGCTGCCCCATAGCTCGGCAGCGAGCATCCCGAGCCCCATAGCACAGACCTGGCTGCCGGAGGCGTTCGGGAAGAGGGAGGTATCCAGCTGGAAGCGGAGGGAGCGGTGCCCGCGCTGGGGCAGGGAACGGCCGAGCAGGCACCTGTGGGGATGGGGACCATGGAACCAATGGGGTTGGGAAGGAGCCTTAAGGGCATCAAGTCCAGCCCCATGGCCACCGCTGAGGGCCTTGGCTATAGGGTCTGGGAGCCCCTCCATGGCCGGTGCCTGCAGCCCTGCCCTGGGCAGCCTGTTCCAATGCCTGAGCACCCTCTGGGGCAGGAATTGTTCCTCAGCTCCATCTAAACCTGCCCTGGTGCAGCTTGAGGCCGTTTCCTCTTGTCCCATCCCTTGTTCCTTGGGAGCAGAGCCCAGCCCCTCCTGGCTCCATCCTCCCATCAGGCATCCCCCCTATGGGACGAGCTGGGCCCTGCTCCTCCATCACTCACCCCTTGTCCATGACCTTGTACCGCGGCCCCGCGCTCGGGGCGGCCTCGCAGTCATCCCCCAGGACCCTCACGGGCAGGATGGGGCCCGTGCTCACCGATGCCTCCACGTTCAGCAGCTCCCCCCGGCCATAGATGGGCTGCAGCAGGCGGGAGGCCCAGGTCCCTGCACGGTGATGGGTGCCCTGAGCATCCCCCTAAAGGTGCTGGCCAGGCAGGGGGTGTGGGGGGGTCCTGTGGCCCCCCCCATACACATAAAGGGGCTTGGGGTGGGGGGGGTCCCCACTCACTGTCATAGGCATCCAAGGCGAAGCGCAAGCGTCTCCGCTGGGCGACGGTGGAGCCGAAGGGGACCCAAGTGGGGCGGATGGGTCCGGAGGAGACGCTGCCTGTCCTGCACCATGGAGCACCCCATAGGTGACGGGCCCCGGGGACACCCCATTGTGTGCAGGGCACCCCCCCCCGCCCATTGCCCCCTTACCTGGGGTAGTAACAGTCCACGGGCAGGGAGAAGGGCCTGGCGCGAGCCACGGGCCCCATGGCTATGGGGCGGTAGTGGAGGATGTTGCTGTAGTGGATGGTGTTAGGAAGGAGCTGTGGGAAAGGGGGGGGGGGTCACAACAGGGGTCCCCTCCCTGTCCCCAGCACCCCATGCGAAGAGCCAGGTCTCACCCCTCACACAAGGGATGTCCCTATGGATGCTGCCGTCATCTCCATAGCAACGGGTCGGAACTTAAGGCCCAACCCATCCCATCCCATGCTTCCATGGAGGCCACCCGACCCGTGGGTGCAGTGACAACGATGGCACAGGCCTCATGGAGGACCCCGTCCCATCCACCCCCAAGAGCTTTCAGGCTCACCAGATGCTGCCCCCCCTCCTTTGGGACATGGTCCCGTCCCCCCTTCATCCTACACCCAATGCATCCCTCACCTCCAGCCTGGTCCCGCAGCCCATGAGGGGATGCTCCAGCCGGAAGCCATCCCTATCAGCAGCCGTCACCCCACAGCCAGACCCCAGGGTCAGCTCCCCATGGAGCACACGGGGCCCCAGGAGAGCAGCCGGGACCATCACGGAGATCCGGGTATGGCCACATGTAATGGACACTGCAATGGGAGGGAGCAGAAACAGGGCTGAGCATGGGGGCACCCACATCAACCTCAGGTCAGCCCCATATTGGCTCTTATGGCCGTGGGGAAAGGTGGCCCCAGGGGCTGAGCTGCTTCGTGCTGGGGCCCCATGGCACCCGTGTGGTTGTGCTGCTCCTCAAGCATCCCAATGGGGGATGCAGGAGCCAGCCCAGGGCTTCCCTCGCTGCAGATCCAGCTCTGGGGCAGCAGCACAAGAGGGACCTGGAACTGATGGAGAGAGGCCAGAGGAGGCCATGGAGATGCTGCAATGGAGCAGCTCTGCTCTGGAGCCAGGCTGAGAGAGCTGGGCTGGGGCAGCCTGGAGAAGAGAAGGATCCTGAAGGGGAGACCTGAGAGCAGCTCCAGTGCCTGAAGGGGCTGCAGGAAACCTGGAGAGGGGCTTGGGACAAGGGATGTAGGGACAGGCCAAGGGGAATGGCTTTAACCTGCCCGAGGGGAGACTGAGATGAGCTCTGAGGCAGAAGCTCTTCCCTGGGAGGGTGCTGAGGCGCTGGCACAGGGTGCCCAGAGGAGCTGTGGCTGCCCCATCCCTGGCAGTGCTCAAGGCCAGGTTGGACACAGGGGCTTGGAGCAAGCTGCTCCAGTGGAAGGGGTTGGGGTTGGAGCTGGAGGAGCTTTAAGCTCCCTTCATCCCAAACCAGGCTGGGATGCTCAGCCCCAAGGAGCTTGAGGAGGAGACCCTGGTCCTCATCCCCCAGCAGCCATCCATACCCAAACCCTCCTTACCCAGAGCCTCGTGTGCCCAAGCTGCAGCCCCAAGGAAGAACAGGAACCAGCATCTCCTGAGAGCCTTCATCGTGAGGAGGAGGAGGAGGAGGAAGAGGAGCAGCTTCCATTGATGGCTTTTACACCTGAGCCAAGGCGGGGGGCGGCTGCAGCTCTGCCAATGGGAGGGCGGGTGGTGGCTGCATCCCTTACTCAGCCCATTGCACACACCTGGGGCCATCTCCTCCTCCTCTTCCTCTTCTTCCTGTCCTTCCTTTCCTTCCTCCCTTTCCTCCTTCTCCTTTTCTTCCTCTTCTTCTTCCTCCTCTTCCCAGGAGCAAACCAAGGGCCCTGCTCCCTCTCCCTGTCCTTGCTCCTTTCCCTGCTCCTTGTCCCTGCCTTGAGGCCGATGGAGAAGGACGGGGTCAATCCCTGCCCTCATCACCCCAAAAGATGCTGGTCCCACACGCAGGGTGATGAGCGCGCCCTCGTGCCACCCTCCCATGGGTCACCTTGGTCCCGAGCACAGGGACTGGTCCCCAGCCTGGAGATCCTGAAGGCTTTATCTCCATGGATAAAGGTGGGGAGCACCAGCATCCCAAGAGCAGGTCTGGGTCCTGTGTCTTGGAAGGATGCTGGAGCCTCGGAGGGGTTTGGGAGGGGGCAAGGAGGAGGCTTCAGGATGGAGAAGATGGAATGGGGCCTGCTCCTCGTGTGATGTGGAGCAGCGAGGGGTGATGGGCTGAGCTGGGCTCTGCATCCCATAATGAGGGAAAAGGGGGAGATGTGGAGCTGAAATGGGGGGGTCCCACCTCACCCCAACAAGGGGAGCCCATGAGCCCATCCCGGGGTGATGCTGCCCTGGGTCCTCTGCTCCCAAAGCATCCCGGTCCTCCTGGGCATCCATCCCCATCCCGACCTGCCGGGATCCCCTTGGATTTAGGGCAGTGGCTGCCTCTTCATCCCCTTCTCCTCCCCTTTTCCCAAGGGTTGCCCCTTGGAGACGGTTCCCTCTGTGGGTTTTGGGGGACACAGAGCAGGGATAACGCCCCTGGGGTGGCAGGGATGCAGTGGGGATCCGAGGCTTGGCATCACCGGTGCCCAGGAATTGCTCCGCTTCCCAGCGAAGAGGCGTTCTCCTGGAAGCAGCCCTGTGAGAACCAGGTGGAAGCGAAGCACAAGGCTGGCTTTTGGGGTTCCTATGGGGATGTAAAGCTCTTCCCAGGAAGCAGGGACCTCCTGTGAGCAGCACTGCTCCATCCCAGGCTATTTTCGTTGGAAAAAGCAGGACTTTGGGGCTCGGAAAAGGCTTCCCGGCGGGCTCACAAACTTGTGCTGTGCTGCTGGGAAGGGATGCACCCAGCCAGGCTTTCCCATTGCATCCTATGGGATGCTGGAGGCTTGGAATGAAGCCATTGGATGCGGGAGAGCCATTTGCACCCCATGGGGTAGACCTGTTGTCCGGCCCTGTGCGAGCAGCAGATGGGGATTGGAAAGGAAGAAGATCCAGCAAAGAACAGAATTCCAGCTGTCAGGAAAGCCAACCCCCACCTACACGAACAGGGTGAATAATAACATCCAAGGAATGTGTTGGATCTATCAGCAAAGCCAGGAATTCCTCCATATTAAGGGCTGGACCGCTGCACCGAGCGGCTTTGCCTCCTCCCCGCATCCCCCTCAGCTTAAAGCTTCCCTATCCCGAAGAGCTCCGCACATCCTCCCTTGGGATGCTGCCATCCCCACCTGGAGCTGCTTTCTCCATGGACCCTTCCCTTGGCAAAGGGGCTTGGCTCTTCGGGGCCGCAAGGCTGAAGCCGTCAGGAATGCTTTGGGAATGCGGGAGGAAATCCAGCGGAGCCGGAGCTTTCAGCCGGGTGCGGACGCTGGAAGCCAGCCCGGCTGCCTAAAGGCTCAAGAGGGGATCCCAGCATCTCCACGCCGGTTAAAGCGGTCCTTACCCTGCGGAGGCTGGCAATGGGAGCCCTGCTTAGCATCGGGCTGTTGAAAGGGGCTCCTCCTCCGTTGGGAGGTTCCAGCCTGAGAGGCACCGGGAGTGCGAGGAAGGGGCTGAACCCCATCCGTGCCCATGTTTTCCCTGGAAAGCCGGCTCGCTGCTTGGCAGCCCTTTACAAGGCCAAGTGCTTGCTCCCTGCGGGATGCCATGGGCAGCTCCACGGGATGCAGGCTGGACACAGGCTGCCCTAAGGGGAAGGTGTCCCGGGATGAGGGAGCTTCAAGCTCCCTTCATCCCAACCCCTTCCAGGGTTCCAGCTCCGTGGGATGGGGACCGCATCCCGCTGCTGGCCCTGGCTTCCAGCTCCCTCTAGGGTCAAGGGAAAGGGAAAGGCACTTCCAAGCCTCGCTCCTGCAATCCTGAGCCTGGGATCCGGTCCTTTCTGGGACCGTGGGGTGAAGCTTGAGCCGGGGTACGGCTCCTAAGCGCTGCCAATGCGGTGCGAAGCCACCTGCAGGCCCTTGTACCTGAATATTCCCGTTCCAAGGAACAGCCTGGTGACATTCCTAAGCTCCAAGGGAGGAAAATTCCCACGTGGAATCCTGTCCCCCAGCCCTGAGCCCTGCTGCTCTCATGGGTAGAGGTTAAATCCCACCTTGTCCTCTTTGCTCCTTGTCCTGCGGCGCAATCCCACTGGGATCAAGGGGATTTGTTCCCTGGTGCGGAGCCAGAGCTCTGGAGCACAGAGGAGGATGAGGATGAGAAGGGATGGGACCAGCACCCAGCATCCGACATCCAACCCCCATGGAAGCTGGGGGGGGGGGGGGGGGGGGCTCTTCCCAAGCCTGGAGGCTCCCATCCCTCTTGGAGAGCACTGGGAATGGTGAGCAGCGGAAATGGAGACCCGTGGCCAGCCAAAGGGAGGAAGGGGCACCCCGAGCTTATCCCACGGGAGCTCAGCTCTCGCTTCCTGCCACAGACGGCCCCATCCCTGCGGATCCCGATGGAGCCCGCACCGGGCCCTGCGTCCTTCCCGCAGGGATGGGGCCGCGGCTCCGGAAGGAGAAGCCCAAAGGCAAGGCAATAAAGGAGCTTCCCTTTCTCTTGAGGCTTTCCCAGCCTCGTTCCTCACTCTTGGCCGAAGCCACCTCATTGAGCAAGAGGGATTTCCATGCGCAAACTTCCTGCAGGGAGCAAAGGGCATTGGGATCAGCACGGCAACGGGGAGACCACAGGGAAGAAGAGGAGGATAAAGGCAGGCTGGAGGAGGTACCCGGCTGGGGACGAGGTGCCGGGAGCAGGACGGGATGCGGGACACCTCCGTCGGGGGATGCCAGAGCTGCTTGTGCTCCCCAGGGCCGCATCCGTGCGCTGCTTCCTGGAGCTGAGGGCCTCATCCTGCGCCTTCCCTAGGGAATGGCGGCCACCACGGTGACGGATGTCGGAGGAGTGCGCATCATCACGGAAGTCATCCCGGCCTCCGACCCCCGTGCGGCCCAATTGGCTCCCAGCTCCGGGCCGGCGGCAGCCCCGGTGTCCTTCCAAGTCCAAAGCTTCCGAAGGGCTCAGCCCAAGGCGCTGGGGGTGAGAGGCGGCATTCCCGAGGGATGGGGCACCCGCGATGAGCATCCCATGGGAACGTGCTGCTGGAGGGGGCTCCTTGGCTGGGGGAAGAGGCGACGGGATGGAGGTGGGATGCTGGTGATGCCCATCCTTCCTTAGACCATCCACATCTTCACCGGCATCATCCACATCTGCTTCGGGATCATCCTGACGGCATCGGAGCACAGCAAACCTCCCCTCCCCGTGGCCAGCGGGGTCCTCTTCTGGCTGGGGCTCCTGGTAAGCAGGGATGTGCTTGGCCTCCATCTCCTCGGTGTCCAACGAGCACAAAGGGATGCGGGTGGACGTGGGAGCAGATCCCTTTGCCACCCGCATCTCCCACCCTCTTGGTGGGGATCCCCAGCGGGATGGGCACCGGGATGTGCGGGATGGGAGGGGAACGTCCCCGCTGATGCCTCTGTTCCCTGAGCAGCTCCTGGCCTCGGGCATTCTGCTGGTGGAAAGCGAGAAGCGAGACAGCATCCTCCTGGTGAGGGGGAAGGGGGGGGGTGGTCCTGGGGTCCCACTGCTTCCATGTCTCCTGCTCCTTCCAGCGGCTGCTGGGATCCCTCCTGCGGGATTCACCCCATAGGGTCCATGCCCCGTGCTTGGGAGCCTGGGCCTCCAGACAAAGGGCACACACGGAGGGGATGCTCTGGGTGGATCCCAGCGGGATTAACCCGTGCTGGGATGCTCAGGGAGCTCCTCCCAGGGCCTCCGTCCTGGTGGGAAGGGACGGAGCCGCTGATGGAAGGGGTCTCCTCCCGCAGGTCAAGGCGTGCTGCGTGTTCAATGCCGGCCTCATCCTGAGCACCCTGGTGGCCGCCCTGCTCCACAGCACGGCCATCACCCGGGACAGCCCCGGCTGCGAGCGCGGCGCTGGGATCCGGCTCAGACCCGAGTGGTGCTCGCACAGCGAGAGCAAGGTTAGAACCCCCCCCCCCTTTTTGTCCCGTTGCGATGCAGGGTCCCAGCCTCCATCCCAGAGCGGTTGCCAAAGCAACGGAGCGGGATGGAGGGGGGAAAGGGACCCTTCCCTCCGGCTCCTCGCAGCTCCTGAGCAATGGGATGGATTCCCTGCTCGTGGTCTTCATCCTGCTCGAGTTCTGCGTGGCCGTGGCGGTGCTGGCCTTCGGGTACCACGCTGTCAGGCAGCACAGCTACACCCGCATGGTGAGGGGTGGGCGGGGAGGCAGGGCTGCACCCTGATCCCAGAGCCTTCGGGATGCTGGCTCCGGCATCCCATGGGATCAGGGCAGCTTTCCCTCCCCAGAGGGGCTCCCCACATCCTCTTTATGGCTCCCAAAGCGGCATTCCGTCCTTTATCCTCTCCTTTAGGCGATGTAGCCATGGCCAGGCACGGAGCCATCACTATTAAGAGCTGCATCCGCGATGCTGGGGAGCCCCGGGGATGCTCCCTGATACCCGGGGGTGTTGGGACCGGAGCTTGAGACCCCCGCTACCCCCGGGGCAGGGTACCGCGGTCCTCAGCGCCACAATAAAGGCTCTTTAATGCGTTGGCATCACTGCGGGGATGAAGGGACCGGGGCGATGGGGACGGGGAGGGCACCGGGTACCGCTCTGGGCCCGTCTGCCCTCAACAAAGATGGCGGCGGCCGCCTGGTGCCGTTGAGGAAGCGGGAGGAGGCGGGGGTGATGCCCGACTCCAAGATGGCGGAGGAGGCGTCGCCGTGGTGCGCGCGGTGACGTCATCACGCCGCGCCCATCGCGAGGGGGCAGCGTGGAGGATGGAGGAGGAGCGGGAGGGGACCCCGGGACCGGGCAATGGAGGGGGCGAAGCGGCGGCCCCGGCCCCGGCCCCGGTCCCGGTCCGGAGGCGTCGGAAAGCGGCCAAGAAGCGGAAGGAGGCGGCGGCGATCCCGAGGGGCAAACCCAAGTCGGGGCGGGTGTGGAAGGACCCCGGCAAGAAGAGGTTTGGGGGGGGGTCTCTGGTGATGGGAAGGGGTTTGGGGGTCCCCAGCACATGGAGCTGATGGGGCGAGGCCATGGGGATGCTGCGAGGGGGCAGGCTGGGCAAGGGACGGCTCCAAGCTCCCCCCCCATCCCATCGGTGGCTCCATAGGGGAAGGGGTGGAGGAGCTGGGGCCGTTGCAGGTGTGGGGTGGGGGGGTCCCGGCTCAGCTCTGCCTCCTTTGGCCCCCCCCAGGTTCTCCCACATGATCCGGGACAAGGCCCTGCGCAGCTCCTGGCCTCGGAAGCTGCGGGAGCGGCAGGAGAAGAAGCTGGTGCAGGCCCTGGCTCGGCAGCTGCAGGATGGGAAGAGGAGGGAGCGAGAGGTATCAGGCCCCCCACACACCCCCATTGTCCCCATGGGGAAGGAGATGGTGTGGTCCAGCAGCCATGGGATGTGTCCAGAGAGGGATGCTCCGCATCCCGCCCTGCGCCAGGGCTCTGGTACCCTCAACAGCAACAAGTTCCTCTTGTAAGAGATGCTCCAGCCCCTGAGCATCCCTGTGGGCTCCTCTGGCCCCTGTCCAGCAGCTCCCAGTCTCTTGTACTGGGACATGGGGCTCCAGCCATGGCCTCCCCTGGGTTCAGTAGAGGAGCATCACCTCCCTGGGCTGCTGCCATGCTGCTGCTGCATCCCAGGATGCTCCTGGAACAGGATCCTGCTCATGGTCAAGCCATCACCCCCCGACCGGGTCCTTCCCGTTGCAGGGCACCCCCATTTACTGGTGCCACTTGCCCTTGTGGGGCCTCAGAAGGTTTCTCCCCTATGGGGCGTCCCATTCGTGGCAGCACAGCTCGAGGTGCCCCTTGGAGGGAGCATCCTCCCCGCCACTGATCCCTTGGGAATACCCCAATCCAAGGGGATGCCCCATTCCCTTTGCTTGGATGAGCTCAGGACCACGTTGCAGGGTCAGGCTGTGTCTGCCCCATGTGTGTGTGCCCCCACGTAGGGCTATGGGCCCATGGGATTAGAGTGGCAGAGGCCCAAACCCATCCGGGGAGCAGCTGGGATGGGAAATGCCCTGGTGTGGAGCCAAATTCCATAGGGAATTCGCTGATGTGAGCTCCAGGCTGGAGCAAGGGGGGAGCTGCTGGTGCAGCGGGCTCCAAGCGCTGCGGTTCCTGAGCAGCACTGGCAGATGGATGGATGGGGGGGAATGGGGATGCTCCTGGTGTGGGATTAAGGCAGGAAGTGGGAATGACCTGGCCCTGTTCCCGCAGGAGAAGAAGCGGCGGCGGGAGGAGAACCTCAAGCGGCGGCTGGAGAATGAGCGCAAGGCGGAGATCGTGCAAGTGGTGAGGGGCCAGGGCAGCAGCGGGTCCTGTCCCTGCATCCCATGGGAAGAGCAGGGAACGGCGTCAGGAAGGGCTCCTCCGTGCCAGGGGAGGAGCCAAGGGGACGCTGATGGGGATCCAGGCTGAGGTTGCTCTGGAAGAGCCCCGGGAGCTGTGGGGCCAGCCCCATGGAAGGGTTTGAGGCTGAAGCGCCAGGCGCTGGTGCCAAGGCATCCTGCAGCCCCGTTAGGGACCGGAGCAGGGATCTGGAGCCTGACCCATCCTCCTTTCATCCCCTTCCTTCCCTCCAGATCCGGAACCCTCTGAAGCTGAAGCGAGCCAAGAAGAAGCACCTGAGGCGGGTGGAGAAGAGGGATACCCTGGCCCTGCTCCAGAAGGCGCCCGTCGGGAGCAAAGCAGCCATGGAATGAGCTGGGAATCACCGCCAGGCTCCAGGGCTCTGTGGGTCCTGCTGCTTCCCCCCCCCTCCCCATAAGCAGGATGCAGTGGGGCAGAGCTGGGGCGGGCTCTGCAGCCCCGTGGGCCCCACAGGAGCCTGCTGCTGGGGCCTGGCCTGGCCTGGGGCTGGAAGAGTGGCTTCAAATGGCCAAATCTGCCTTTTCTGTACCAAAAATGAGTAGGAACTGAGCCCAAAATGCCCTCCCAATGGCTTTGTGTGTGTGTGGGGCGGGTGATGGGGCCACCTTGGGGTCTCCTCTGTGCTAAAGGAGCTCATCTCCTATGGGAAGATGATCTATCCATCCCGTTGGGAATGAGCCCTGGAGCGCATCCCTAAGGCAGGGGGTTTGTTTCTGCTGCCCTACGGGGAGGAGATGGGAATGTGGGGCTGGGAGCCCATTCTCCATCCCTCTTGAGGGTGTCACTGGGGGGGCAAACAGGAGGTTCCAATGGGATAAAGCCCTGGAATGGGAGCACGTGGTGGTACCCAGCTCCAGGAGCTTCATCCTATTGGGAACACTGTGGGATGAGCAGTGCATGGGGCAGAAGGAAGCTTAGGGGAGGGTTAATGACAGCTGGGGGACCCCAATGTGTGGGGCAGAGCTTGACGTTGCCCCACGGAGCAGGATTGGGGATGGGGATTGCTCCCTTTGAGGGCTTCCAGAGGCAAGGAAGGCGGCGTCTATGGGGTGCACTGGGGCTATGGGGCGGTTGCCAGCAGGTCACGGGGCAGAAGGGCTTTGGCCTCGTTGCTTCCTGGTTAATGAATGATTCCCAAGGCATGGAAAAGCCCAACCTCTTCCACCACCTCCCTCCCCACACTTCCCCCCCAGCCTTTGCCCTGCTGGTAAGAGGTGAGGGTTGGGGGGGGGGGGGGTGTGGGTTGGAGCCCATCCCCGTGGCTTTGGGGCGGCTGTTGTTCCTAATGGGGTCTATGTGGCGTCCCCTAACCAGGGTTGGGATAGAGCCAGCGCCTCGCTGGGATCCCTGCCTGCATAGGAATGGGGTCTGCGTGGGAATGGGGGGCCCATAGGCTGTGCCCCCCCCCATCCCTTGTCCCCTTGCCCATGGTTTTGGGGTGCAGAGGAGGAGAATGGGGAGGGGGAAAAGTGGGTGCTGGGGGTGGGGGAGAGGAGCAAAAGGGGTGTCCCTGTTGTTGGGGGGAGAGGGGGGATGGATGCCGTGGGGTGTCAATGGGGTGATGCTGCCACTTGGATGCTGCATCCAGCCCTGGTGTCCTGAGCATGAGGCCGTGAGGATGCTCCGGGGCTGGAGCCGGGTTGGGAGCAGTGGGGCTGCGTGGGGAGCTCCGAGCAGCTTCCAGTGCCTGAAGGGGATGCAGGGATGCTGGGGATGGGCTCCATGAGGGATGGGAGTGATGGGACGAGGGGTCGGAATGGAGCAGGGGGGATCCAGCTTGGCTGCAAGGAAGGAATCGTACCCAGAGAAGCTGTGGCTGCCCCATCCCCGGCAGCCCTCAAGGACACGGGGGCTTGGAGCACCCTGCTCCAGCGGAAGGCAGGGGTTGGGGTCGGAGCTGGATCCCCCCCATCCCACAGCCCGCGGGCTGCAGTGGGTCAGGCCGCCCTGCTGCTCCTCTCCATCCCCACAGGTGCCCCATGGTGGAGGTGACGGTGACGCCGCGCTCCTCCCTCGCCGACCGCCCGGTGCGGGTGCTCGTGCGGGGTCTGTCCCCGTGCCAGCTCATCACCCTGCGGGCCTGGCTCCGGGATGAGCAAGGGGAACGCTTCCAGGCCCGGGCTTTCTTCCGTGCCGATGCTAAGGGTGAGGTGGACCCCGGCTACCAGCCTGCCCTCGGCGGCACCTACAGCGGCCTCTCCCCTATGGGGCTGCTGTGGTCCCTGCAGCCGGACACCCCCTTCCGCCGCCTGCTCAAGCGGGATGTGACCGGCAGCCCCTTCCGCATCCACGTGGAAGCCTTCGATGGTGTCCTCCTGCTCGACGGGCCCCGGCACCCACCCCTGGCTTCGTGCGAAGCCGAGCGCTGGTTTGTGGGTGCCGGGGTGCGGCGGGTGCCCATCAGGGAGGGCAGGGTGCGGGGAGCCCTCTTCCTGCCGCCCGGTGAGCCACGGGATGCAGGGCGGGCGGTGAGGGAGCATCCCTTGGGATGCGCGATGGAACCGGCGCTCAGTGCCGGTTCCTGGGGCTCCCCCATAGGACCAGGACCCTTCCCGGGCGTCGTGGACCTCTTTGGGGGTGCAGGAGGGCTCATTGAGTTCCGAGCGGGGCTCTTGGCCAGCCGGGGCTTTGCGGTGCTGGCTTTGGCTTTCTTTGCCTACGAGGACCTGCCCCGCACCATGGCCCTGCTCGACCTCGACTACTTCGAGGAGGCGACGGCGCTGCTGCTCCGGCACCCCAAGGTGAGCGCCGCGGCACCCATCAGTGGGGTGCAGGATGGGGAGGGAGGTCCGCGGAGGGGGGCAGCGGTGTGCGCAGCACAGTGGGAGGGAGCTGAGCTTTAAGGCCCCTTGATCCCATGGCGCATCCCACCCCGCGGTGCTCCCAGGTGCGAGGCCCCGGCTTGGGGGTCATCGGCGTCTCCAAAGGAGCAGAGGTGGCTTTGGCCATGGCCTCCTTCCTGCCGGCGGTGCTGGCCACGGTGTGGATCAACGGCACCGTTTTCCTCCACGGCAACCCCTTGGTCTACAAGGACCTCCGCATCCCCGCTCTTCCCTATGGGATCGAGCGTGTGCTCATCGCCGACATGGGGGCCTTGGACAGCTCCGCTGTCTTCAGCCACCCCCAGCACCCCGATCCCGGCTCCTCGGCCATCCCGGTGGAGAGGATCCGGGGGAAGGTGCTGTTTGTGGTGGGAGAAGCCGACCGCAGCCTCAACAGCAAGCTCTACGCCGCGCTGGCCGTGGCGCGGATGCCGCCGGCGCGGGCTCGCATCCTGTCCTACCCTGGGGCCGGGCACCTCATCGAGCCCCCTTGCTCCCCGCTTTGCAGCGTGTCCTGCCTCAAGGGCAGCCCCCGGCCCCTGCTTTGGGGGGGGGAAGCCAAGGCTCACGCCAGGGCTCAGGAGCACTCGTGGGAGGAGATCATCCGGTTCCTGGCGCGGGAGCTGGGACGTGCCGGGGCGAAGCTGTGATGGGGACGGGGAAAGGGATGCGCTTAATAAAGAGAGAGCGACGCTGCCTTGGTGCTGCACGGGATGGGGGGGGGTTCCCATTGGGAACGCTGGAGGGAAGAGGGGAGGGATGGCTTTAACCCCCAAAAAGGATGAGGGTGGAAGCGTGGGATGGGGGGCTTCGAGGGCTCTTCATCAGCGACAAGGGGTGATGCCTTCGAACCAGGGTTTAGGTGGGATCTAAGGAACTCCTTTGCCCCATTCCCATTCCCGATTCCCAAAGCCTCCGCTCCCCCCGGCCATGGGACGTGAGCACGGCCCAGGGCACCGAGGTCGCTGCTGGGCACAGGAGCGAGGAGCCCTGGCACCCTCCCGGCATTCCAGGGCTCCGGAACGCGGCGCGTTGCCAGCAGCCGGCTATAAAACCCCTTCCCTGGGCGCCGAGCCGGGCTCCGCGCTCGCCATGGGACCGAGCTGCTCCCTGCGGCTCCTGCTGCTGCTCCTGTGCCAGGGCCCCGGAGCCCTCTCGCTCCTGCGCTACCGCTACGAGTGCCGGGAGCAGCGCATGCAGCTGGAGGCGCAGCCCGGCCGCGGGCGCAGCGCCCGTTTCAGGGTCCTGGGTGAGTTGGGATGCGGGAAGGGGAGCGGATCCCTATGGAGCAGCTCCTCAAAGGGCACGCGGGGAACCTGGAGCAGGGCTTGGGGTGTAGGGGTAGGAAACGGGGCAACGGCTTGGAATTGGGGGAGCTTTGAGCTCCCGTCGTCGCACCGCGCCCCACGGCTGCCGTGATCCCCACAGATGAGTTCGGGAGCCCCTTTGACGTCGCCAACTGCTCCATCTGCCTCCACTGGCTCCACAGCAGAGCGGACGGTGCCATCGTCTTCTCCTCTGGCTACGAGGGCTGCCACGTGCTGCTGAAGGCGAGGCCCCATCCCTCCCATCACCCCCCCCAAATGCATTGCTATGGGGCTGGGGGTCACTGTCCGCCCCGTTGCAGGAGGACCGCTACGTCCTGCGGGTGCAGCTGGAGGAGACGCTGCCCAACGGGGCCCTGCTCGGCTCCTATGAGGTGAACATGACCTGTCCTCGGCCCGCTGACGACGAGCATCCCGCTGGGGGCCATGGCAACGGCATCCGCCGGAGCCAGGCTGGGGTCCCGGTCCCCCTGTCCCAGCCGGGCCTCCTGCACCAAGCATCCCAATCCTCCGTGAGCATCCCGGGATCCCGGCTCGCATCCCAAGTGCATCCGGAGCAGGGTCCCCCCCTGGCACGGGCAGAGCCCCAGGAGCAGCCGGGAATGGGGCATCCTGGGGGGCCGAGTCGAGCGGGTCGCCTCCGGCCTGGGCTTCAGAGCCAAACCCAGCCTGGTCTGGTGCATGCCGGGGCTCCGAAGGAAGCAGGAGCTGGGGTTCAGGGCCAGAACCAGCCTGGAATGGTGCTTCCCGGGGCTCAGCATCAACAGGGTCGTCTTCATCCAGTGATTCAGACCCACAACCAGCCCGGGCTGATGCAATCTATGGGTCAGAATCAACCGGGTATTGTACGTCCTGGGGTCCAGACCCAAACCCAGCCTGGGCTGATGCATTCTATGGGTCAGAATCAACCAGGTCGTCTTCATCCAGTGATTCAGACCCCCAACCAGCCCGGGCTGATGCATTCTATGGGTCAGAATCAACCGGGTATTGTACGTCCTGGGGTCCAGACCCAAACCCAGCCCGGGCTGATGCATTCTGTGGGTCAGAATCAACCGGGTCTTGTACGCTCTGTGGTTCAGACCCCTAACCAACCTGGGCTGATGCATTCTATAGGTCAGAATCAACCGGGTCTTGTACGCTCTGTGGTTCAGACCCCTAACCAACCTGGGCTGATGCATTCTATAGGTCAGAATCAACCGGGTCTTGTACGCTCTGTGGTTCAGACCCCCAACCAACCTGGGCTGATGCATTCTATGGGTCAGAATCAACCGGGTCTTGTACGCTCTGTGGTTCAGACCCCTAACCAACCTGGTCTGGTGCATCCCAGGGCTCCAACTCAACCAGGGCATCTTCGTCCTGGGGTCCAGACCCAAACGCACCCGGTTCTGGTGCACCAAAGGGCTCAGACTCAAGCAGGAGCCCTTCGTGCAGGGCTTGCACCCCAGAACCAGCCCGGGTTGGTGCACGGCACCGGTGCCTTCATGCACTCTGGTGCTCAGCCCCACACGGGCTTCGGACGCCCGGGGGCTCAGCCCCCAAACCAGCCGGGTTTAACCCATGCCAACCCTCAGCCCCACTCCCAAGGGAGCCGTGTCCATCCCGGGCTCCAGAGCCAAGCCGGGCTGCTCCATCCCAGCCATTCCCGACCGGCTCTACCCCATCCCGGCCTCCAATCCCGACCGGGTTTGATCCGCCCTGGTCTCCATGCTCAGCCCCAGCCGGGTCTGGGGCACCCAGGACTCCAGCCCCAAGCCCAGCCTGGTTTGATGCGGCCTGGCCTTCAATCCCAGCCCAGCCTGCTGCAATCCACAGCCCTCTTCTACCCATCAGCAGGGGCAGGTAAGCGGAGGGGATGCTATGGGATGGGGTGATGGGATGGGTCCCCTGGACCAGCGGGATGCTCGGGGGGCTGCTTTGGCACTGGGTGCTGAGCGCAGGGTCCCCTTTGTGCCGCGCCAGGCACCCCGCTGAGCCGGGAGCAGTGCCAAGTGGCCGTGGGGAGGATGCCCTGCGTGGCACCGCAGGGCCGGGACGCGTGTCTGCAGGCGGGATGCTGCTACGACGACATGGACCGGGCTGCGCCCTGTTACTATGGCAACACCGGTAGGATGCTCGGGGCAAGGGGGGGGGGGGGGGGGGTTGTGCCATCACCTGCATCCCTGGTTGGAAGCTGCTGGGTGGATAAATGGGGCTGGAGGTGCCCTTTTAGAGGGGAGATTGGGCCTGGTTTGAAAGCCAATGCATTGGGGCAGGCTGCCCAGGGCAGCGGCGGAGGCTCAGGACCGGTGCAGATGCGGCCCTGGGTGCCATGGGTTAGGGGGTGGCTTTGGGGCTGGATCTTGAGCTCTTTTCCACCTTGGTTGATTGAGGAGCAAGGAAGTGGTGCCTGCCCCATCCCTGGCCGTGTTCAAGGCCAGGCTGGACCCAGGGGTTTGGAGCATCCTGGAGCATCTCCCTGCCCATGGCACTGGATGAGCTTTAAGCTCCCTTCCACCCCACCCCGTGCCGTGACTCCCTGGTGCTGGGCTGACGGGCTGGCTCCCTGCCGCCGCAGCCACGGTGCAGTGCCTGCTGGACGCTCACTTCGTGCTGGTGGTGCCGCGGGGGCTCAGCACCCAGCCCTACAACCTGGACAGCGTGCGCCTGGCCAGCGGCCAGCCCGGCTGCGAGCCCCTCCGCGTCACCGAGGCCTTCGTCATGTTCCGCTTCGCCGTCACCCAGTGCGGGACCACGGTGCAGGTGTGGGGACGTGGCACCCATCATCACCATCACCGTGGGGGGCTCACAGCACCCTCACCCCGTGTCTGTGCCCGCCCCCAGGTGATCGAGGACCGGCTCATCTATGAGAACCAGCTCATCTCCACCATCGATGTCCAGGGGTCCCCCCGGGGCTCCATCACACGGGACAGCATCTACATGTGAGATACCAGCACCCCCCTTACCTCCAGCACCCTCCCTCCTGCTGGGCCTTGGTGCTGGCACCATGGACCCGTTCCCCTTTGGGGCTGGAGGCCATGGAAAAGAGGGAGGGGGGGATCACCCATCTCTGCCCTGCTCCCACAGCCTCCAAGCCCGCTGCATCTACAACGCCAGCGAGCTCCTGCCCCTCCGCATGGAGGTTGCCATCCCCACCACCGCGGCCCCCGTGGCCATGCCGGGGCCGCTGGGGCTCCAGTTGCGCATCGCCACTGGTGAGCACTGCACCCACTGGTCCCCCTCATCCCGGCTTCCCCCCCCCCCCCATCATCATCCTCATCCCGCTCAGCTTCTCCCCCCGTGCCCCATAGATGAGAGCTACAGCTCCTACCACCCCGCTGCTGACTTCCCCCTGGTGAAGGTGCTGCGGGACCCCATCTACGTGGAGGTTCGGCTCCTGCAGAAGACAGACCCCAACTTGGTGCTGGTGCTGCACCACTGCTGGGCATCCCCCAGCACCGAGCCCGCCGCCGAGCCCCAGTGGCCCATCCTGGTGGAGGGGTGAGCAGAGGGCAACAAGAGATGGGGCTCTGGGGGGGGCACCCACCTTAACCTCAAGGTCCCTTTTGCCCCCCCCCCAAGGTGCCCCTTTGCAGGGGATAACTACAGGACCCAGCTCGTGCCTGTTGGACCAGCGTCCCCACAGCTCCCCTTCCCCAGCCACTACCAGCGCTTCGTCATCTCCACCTTCACCTTTGTGGAGCCCCCATCCATGGCAGTGCTGGAGGGAGAGGTAGAACTGCCCCCAAACCCCCCTATGGAGGGGTGAATGGGGCTCTATGGGGCTTCCAGCCTGATGGAGCCCATGTGTGGGTCGCAGGTGTTCATCTCCTGCAGCGCCTCCGTCTGTCACCTGGCCCAGCCTGAGCCCTGCCGCCCCTCCTGCCACCTCGGGGTGCCCTCACGTGAGTCTGGGGGGGGGGCCTGGGACCGGGGGGGGGGACCCCCCGTTGTGTGTGTGCCCCCAAACCAAGGCCCTTGTCCCTCCCCAGGAGCACGGCGGGCAACGAGAGCCAGAACTGGAGCCATGGGCACGGTCAGCTCCCAGGGCAGCATCACCTTCCCCATGGTGGCCAAGCTGCAAGGAGGGGGCTGAATTCCCTGCTCTTCCTCACCCTTCATCCCTGCTCTTCCTCTTCCTCTCCTCCAGGCAGATGTTGCTGCACCTCTGGGCGAGCTGCATCAAATAAAGCCCCTGGAGCACGGTTGGAGAGGGTGCTTTGTGCCTAATGGGGGGGGGGGTGAATAGGGTCCCATGGCCAAGCTGGCAGCACCCACATCTCAGCCCACTGGTGCTGCCCTCCTCAGCCCAGGCCCAATGGAGCACAGGGGATGGTGAAGCGCTCTTTATTTCCACCCTGAAACCATATAATGGATACAAACCCTGCCCATTCCCCCCCCCACCCCACCCCTTACCCCAGCTGCAAACATCCACCAGTGCCAGGATGGGGGCTTCTCATCCCGATCCCAAGCACAACCGTGGAGCTAAAGGCAGGGAAGAAAAGACACACAGGAGGCTGCAAAGCAAAAACCCAACTCCAACCACCCCAGGAAGGCCAAAACCCCAACAGCTACCGAGGAGAGCCTGGAGAAGGGATGAACCCGGCTCCCTCCCTACCCCATCCCTGATCCCCCCTCCCTCCCCTATCCCAAACCCCATTGAGACCCCAGCTCCGTGGCTACAGGCTGTAGAACTTGAGGCTTCGGTCCATGCCCGTGGAGGCGATGAACTTGGCGTGGTGGCCAAAAGCCACCCCCGTGGTGAGGCCACTGTGCTCTGGGGAGGGAAGAGACCAAGGGTATGGGACCAAGCAGCGTTCGACCCTCCACGGAGGGTGCACAGAGAGAGGTTCTGAGGGGGGAGAAGGGTTTCCTGCCCTGCCGTGCTCACCTGTGAAGTGGAGGATCTCGGTCCACTGCTTGCAGATGTAGATCTGCACATCCGTCCCGCCCAGCGCCAGGTAGGTACCGCTCTGGTCGAAGATGAGAGACTTCACCTACGGAAGAGAAGGGGAAAGAGGCTCCCGTGCCAGCTCCTAAAGCTCCATGGGGCTCAGCACCCCGGGGCTGCTCCCACCTCGAAGTTGTTTTCCAGCTGCAAGGTCTTGAAGTTCTTGAGCTTGCGGAGGTCCCAGAGCTTGACAGAGGAATCGTCGGCGGCCGTGGCCAGGTAGTAGCCGTTCTCCGAGAAGGCGATGCTGGTGATGGGGCCCGAGTGGCCCGGGAAGTTGGCCACGTTGGTGCGTTCCTAAGGGGGAAAAGGCAGCAGGGAACTGGGGAACGCTGCAGGCTTGGGAAGCTGCGCGTGGAAAAGGAGCTGAGCAGGAGCAGCTTGTGCCCAGGCAGCCAAGAAGCCCCCAGCATCCTGGTGCTGCACCAGCACCAGTGCGGCAGCAGGAGCAGGGCAGGGATTGGGCCCCTGTGCTGGGCACTGGGGAGGCTGCACCTCGAATCCTGTGCTCAGCTCCGGGCCCCTCACTGCAAGAGAGACCTTGAGGTGCTGGAGCGGGGCCAGAGAAGGGAACGGAGCTGGAGCAGGGCCTGGAGCCCAAGTGTGATGGGGAAGGGCTGAGGGAGCTGGGGGGTTCAGTGTGGAGAAGAGAAGGCTCAGGGGGGACCTGATGGCTGCCTCCAAGTGCCTGAGAGGAGGATGGAGCCAGGAGGGGCTGGGCTCTGCTCCCAAGGAACAAGGGATGGGACAAGAGGAAACGGCCTCAAGCTGCCCCAGGGCAGGTTTAGATGGAGCTGAGGAACAATTCCTGCCCCAGAGGGTGCTCAGGCATTGGAACAGGCTGCCCAGGGCAGGGCTGCAGGCACCGGCCCTGCAAGTGCTCCCAAACCCTATAGACAAGGCCCTCAGGGCTGTGGGTTATGGTGGCCTCAGGGTTGGACTTTGTGCTCTTAAAGCTCTTTCCCAGCCTGGCTGATTCCATGACCATGGGTCTGCTTCAGTCAGAAGCAGGCTGGGTGAAGCGGCTGCCCCTGAGCTGAAGCTTTGTGGGTCCAGAACCCCCAAAGTCCATGGACTGAACCCTCTGCATGGCACTGAACCCCATCCCCCTGGATGCTGCCTCCCCATCCCCTCCCTTCACACACCCGGAGCCGGTTCTACCTTCAAATCCCAGATCTTGATCTGGGAGTCCATGGTTCCCGTCCCAAAGATGAGCCCATCCGGGTGGAACTGGGCACAGGTGAGAGCTGCAGAGACACAGGAATTGCATTGGGAAGAAGCTCTTCCCTGGGAGGGTGCTGAGGTGCTGGCACAGGGTGCCCAGAGGAGCTGTGCCTGCCCCATCCCTGGCAGTGTTCAAGGCCAGGTTGGAACTGGGTGAGCTCCAAGGTCCCTTCCAACCCAAAATATCCCATGATTTGGAGGATTGGGAAGGATTTCTTTGCTCCCAGCCCCATCCCCATCAAGTTCTGATGAGCTCCAGAACATCAGGGACCCACAGGGAGGAAAATCCCTTCTCCAGATGCTCCCACCAGGGTTGGGATCCTCATCCCCATCCTTACCACAGCCAGAGCTCTCATCCGTCACCTTGGTGAGCACACGGCCTGTCTGGATGTCCGAGAAAGCCCAGTACTGGAGGGGAGGGAGAGCGCGGTGAGGACGTGAGGATGAGGAGGAGCAGCAGGAGGAAGGTGCTGTGGCCGGGGCTGGGCTCTCACCTGATCATCTGAGGAGCTCAGGAGGTAGTCACCCGTGGCATGGAGGCTCAGCCCCGTCACCGAGCCCTCGTGGGCACGCACCACCTGCACGCAGGAGGCGTTGGGGACGGACCAGATCCGGATGGTGGCATCCGGAGAGGCTGAGAACACCAGGTCCTGGGCAGGGAGGGAGGAGGATGCTTGTGCTCAAGGGATCTCTGTGGCTTGCATGAGGTGGAGGCCCCCATCCGGAGCGGGGTGGCTATGGGGGGAAGAGGGGCCTGGGCACAACCTGGGATGGGTGGAACACCACGCTGGTGACCTTCTTGGAATGCCCCTTGAGCGTGGCCAGGATCTGCTCCGAGCTCTTGTCGAAGACGATGACGTTCTTATCCGCCCCACCTGGAAAGAGGAGCAAGGAAAGGGGAGAGCTGGGAGCCTGGGAGCTGCACCTCCAGTCCTGCTCCCAGCCCTCAGGAGAACCCCTCCCGTCCCTTGTCCCCCTGCTCCCAGGTGCCACCACGCAGCCCCAGCAAGCAGAGGGAGGGGACTTTTACCAGTGAGGATCTTGTTGGTGTCCGAAGGACACAGGTCCAAGGCCAGGATCCCCGGAATGCTGGCGCTGTGCAGCCCCTGCGTGACGTGGGAGGACACCCGCTTAAGGCCACCAGCCCCAAAAAGGCTCCTTCCTTTGGGGAAGCATCTCCTCAAGCACAGCGAGCCGCAGCCCCCCCCTCTTCCACACTGATGCATCCCTTAGGGCCGCGTGGGGAAGGTCCCGTGGCACTCACCACGTGCGAAGCAACCTGCCGGTACTTGCTGAGCTCCTCCGGTTTCACCAGCTCCTCCGGCACCGTCTTCCCTCTCTGCAGAAGGGAAAGGGGATGGGGACGGGCACGGGCACACGGACCCGGAGGTGGGCTCTGGGAGGTGGGGGAGCAAGGGAGGCCCTCACCTTCTTCCGCTCCGTGGTGAGCACCGTGGCCTTGTCTTGGAGCTGGGAGAGAAAAGGGGGGGTCAGGGAGGAAGAGGGGGGTCAGGGAGGAAGAGGGAGAGCCCAAAGGGCCACGAGCACAGGAGAGGCCCCGTTACCTTCTGGATGATCTCCGGGGTCATGCCTGCGAGCTCCCCCAGCTCCATGGGCTCCCCGGCTCCCTGCAGGGGACACAGGGAAAGGGGGGGGTGAGCCCCCGGGGATGGAAGGGGTGGGGGGAAGGAGTGGGGTGAGGAGGGGGACTCACGGCCACGTTGGGTTGGGAGGACGGCACCGCCTGGGGCACGATGAGCCCGGCCTGGGGCTTCAGGGTTGCCAGAGCTGGGGGGCAGAGGGGTCACGGGTGAGGAATGGGAATGGGGACAGCGGCCAGTGCAGGGATCCCAACCACAGCACCCAGCACCCAGTGCAGGGATCCAAACCACAGCACCCAGCACCCATTGCCCAGTGCAGGGATCCCAACCACAGCACCCACTGCCCAGTGCAGGGATCCAAACCACAGCACCCAGCACCCATTGCCCAGTGCAGGGATCCAAACCTCAGCACCCACTGCCCAGTGCAGGGATCCAAACCTCAGCACCCAGCACCCAGTGCAGGGATCCAAACCTCAGCACCCACTGCCCAGTGCAGGGATCCCAACCACAGCACCCAGTGCCCAGCACCCAATACAGTGATTCCAACCCCAGCACCCAATACAGTGATTCCAACCCCAGCACCCAGCACCCAATACAGTGATTCCAACCCCAGCACCCACTGCTCAACACTCACTACAGGGATCCCAACCCCAGCACCCAATACAGCAATTCCAACCCCAGCACCCACTGCCCAACACCCATGACAGGGATCCCAACCCCAGCACCCAGTGCCCAGCACCCAATACAGCGATTCCAACCCCAGCACCCAGTGCCCAGTACAGGGATCCCAACCACAGCACCCATTGCCCAGTACAGGGATCCCAACCACAGCACCCAGTGCCCAGTACAGGGATCCCAACCACAGCACCCATTGCCCAGTACAGGGATCCCAACCACAGCACCCATTGCCCAGTGCAGGGATCCCAAACACAGCACCCAGCACCCAGTGCAGGGATCCCAACCACAGCACCCATTGCCCAGTGCAGGGATCCCAACCACAGCACCCATTGCCCAGTACAGGGATCCCAACCACAGCACCCATTGCCCAGTGCAGGGATCCCAAACACAGCACCCAGCACCCAGTGCAGGGATCCCAACCACAGCACCCAGTGCCCAGTACAGGGATCCCAACCACAGCACCCATTGCCCAGTGCAGGGATCCCAAACACAGCACCCAGCACCCAGTGCAGGGATCCCAAACTCAGCACCCAGCACAGGGATCCCAACCCCAGCACCCAGTGCCCAGCACCCAATACAGTAATTCCAAACTCAGCACGTACTGCCCAACACCCAATACAGGGATCCCAACCTCAGCACCCA